AATTTTAGGAATACTCAGCGCCCCCTATGGGTGGTAGGAGGGACCCTCTCGCTCCCACAATCTCGGCGCTTAGGGCATAGTGGAAGCCCCGTTGCTGCCGTAGTTCGCTTTCCCGCCCCTCGATCGGTATCACGTTAGACGAGTGTCGAGACAATACAGATGCTATTATTCGTTCTAGGACCCACGCACAATCAGCTAACCGCCGAGTGATGAGGCGATCTTTTTCTCCCATTCTTTTGTCCTCTGTTTTTTTTTTGCTGTCGCGATCTCTTATTTAATTTCCTACCCCTAGAGGCTGAAAAATGTGAGCTACTTTTGCTGTTACTAGGGTTTTTTTTTGTTTACTTATGCTTATAAGTGAATTTTTGCTTACTATAGTCTGTTATCCGCACCAGGACCCGCACACACAGTGAGACACATCNCACGCACAATCAGCTAACCGCCGAGTGATGAGGCGATCTTTTTCTCCCATTCTTTTGTCCTCTGTTTTTTTTTTTGCTGTCGCGATCTCTTATTTAATTTCCTACCCCTAGAGGCTGAAAAATGTGAGCTACTTTTGCTGTTACTAGGGTTTTTTTTTGTTTACTTATGCTTATAAGTGAATTTTTGCTTACTATAGTCTGTTATCCGCACCAGGACCCGCACACACAGTGAGACACATCGTATAGCCCGTCTAAACGCCCCACTCTCCTTTTATTTTTCTGGTCTCATTCTCGTCCAGCTCCCTTTTTAACGGTTTTTCGGAGCCTTTTTTCACCCACCGATTCACGCAGTTTCACCACCTTCATCGCACAACTTTCGACCTTGTCTTCCATTTTTCATCATAATCTGGATTACCCAAAATTATCGTGAACTGTGCCTTTAAAGGATTCAGGTACTTTCGGGGTATCTAGTTTAACATGATGAATATAAGGCTTAGTCCAGTGTAATGCAGAAGTGGCGAAGAAAATGCGAAAATCAGCGTATCTAGAGAGATATGAGGCTTGAAAAAGTAGTAAAAATAGAGGTTGCACGAGAGTGTGATGACAAAAGTTGCGAGGAAGGGGTTTTGGACGACTTGTGTGAGGGTGGGTACGTGCCAGTACGTACAACTGGCTACAATATGTTGCCTGCATGCAACGCGTGCTTTCCGGTGCAAATGGTGAAACCTCCACAGCCTCTACAACTCTTTGCGAACTTGCCCGCCATTGAGTGTATACCTCTGCTGAGCCTGTTCTGACAATAAGGTCCTTTACACATTGTCTAGGCCGTTTTTCGACCCGACTATGTTCATGACGAAATTTCAGGAAATATTCTTGTCGTGGACTGCGCCTTTGATGAAACTCAAGTCGGGTCCCTCGAGACTATTCTCACGTAAACTAAACATTCCCAAAATGTATCAGTAGAGGAGTTCAAACGTGAAAATCGTGAAAAATGGAAGTTTAATCTTTAGAGGAGATGAGCAGTAATGACGCTGTTCTATAAATTGGTAGCCTCGCAATGCATGTGTTCAGCAGCCGCACAGTTGGTGTCCGTAGAAACATAGCAATCTTCTGAACAGGCTCCATCTTGTTTTTCCGCGATTTCTATGATGTTGACGTGCATTACTTTCTATTCCAGCCCTTGGCGTAATTTGCAAATACCCTGGCAATAAGAAGGTAATTTCCGAAAGGATTCAGAGAAGCTACTGCTCAGTATGAGAAGCTGTATTTCTAGATACCAAGTAGATATTAAAGGCACAGTTCACGATAAAATGGCAGCTAGATATGATAGGCAGATATGAGATATCCCCCTGGGATAAATTTGTGGCCCCCTCGTATACCATATGTGACTCAGTAAAGTCGGAAAACGGCTTAGATGGGGCGTTATAAAGGTTTAAAAACTGCACCGTGTGTATCCTCGGACGAGTTACACCAGCACTGTAAAGCTGCACCAATCACGAGGAAACCATGTAGGAAATTCAAACAATTTGTCATGATCCATAGCGACGGTGAAAGCCAGTTTTGTACAATTCTAGCTTGATGCAACCAGCTCTTTACGCATTAGCAGCAACTGAAATTTCGTCCGAACACCTCATTCATGTTATTTCCGTCATGTCAATCTCGTCCAAGCTCTATTTGCTTTTTTTGGGACCCTTATTTTTCTCGAAGTCGACGAACTTACTTGCTTTCTTTCACTACCAGTAAACTATTTCCAACCTATACTTCCGCTTTTCGACTAAAGAGGGGTACCTCAAAATTATCGAGAACTGTGCCTTTAAAACAGATAAACGGAGGGAGGTATGCTTAGTGTTGAATTATGCTCCAGAAGCATTCACTATTAAATTCCTGGCGAGGATGTTTCATGACATGACAGAATGAGCAGTTGGGCTGCGCTCGCTAACGCGTGCTTCACATCCCAAAGTGATCCGTATTGGTTAGAGAGAACAATAGAAATAATGTCAGTAGACTTCCGATTCAATAAGTTGCTCCTCACCCATTTAACATGCGCCCACGTGAAATTTCACAATCCTCTTCGCGACTGCGTGATTTTTTGCGGACAGGCGCACAAACGCACATACAAACGGACAGGTATGTGTGCGAACGTGCGTCCGAGGATGCGCGCGGCAAATTGCGCGGCGAAGTTCGTAATGGTTTGAACGAGTTCGGCGCCTGTCATTGGGGCCCAAATTTCAAATAGAATGGATTAGGAGGATCATCCGACCCTACTAAACTACACTACTTCGAGTTTGTGCCCCGAAAATTGGCGCCGCAGTCATACAAATCGTCACGAACTTTGCAGCTCAATTCGCCGCGCGCACCCTCGGACGCACGTTCGTACCGTTCCCCCAAACGGACACACAAAGTAAGAGATGTTACTATAGAGATATTACTTTTTCCTCTTGCAATTAAAAAGGAAGGAGATGCGAAAGAGGAAGGCATAAAAGTAGACTGATAGGGGATGGAATCCAGTGATGAGTGATTGGAATTTCCTATTTATATATAACGTACCTCGTTTCCAGATGGACAAACGAAAGCCGTCCTTTGTGCGATTTGGAAAACGTAGCGAAGGTGATTCGGCGATGGAAAAGCGGAAGCCAAGTTTTGTGCGATTCGGACGAAAGTGATAAATGAAACACCGCTGTTGGTCAAGCACACATCAAATCATCCACCACTCAATTACACATCAATCCCAACAGATTCCTTTCATTTCTACTTGAATGACTCCACCCTTCACTCCGTCGGAAAGTAAACGCTACCTTACTACGAGATCATCATTTATACTTTACTTGTGAGGAAAATAACGATTGAGCGCATAAATATGTGTTAACATATCATTTAGCTTTTGACAGAACAACCAGAAGCAGTGTACTGACGGTTCCCAGGGCAACGAGCTCGTCAATTTATACCCAGTCAATGATGAAGATTACTCAACTGATTACTCGAAAAAGTTTGAATGACGGAATTTACTAGCTCTTCATATGAGATTTGTCACATTTTCAAGGCCTAAAACCTTAGTCTAGACCTACTTTTCGAAGGTTCCATTTCGTTCCCTGTTACGCGTTTACACCGTTTACGAAGTTTACATCCCTGTTACGCGGGAGGGTACTTTTGCAAACATTACCTGAACTATTGATACTTATGAGTATTTGCAAGCTGGTGTCGTTGCCATTTAAAAGTGGTACATTTTCAGATATTTGGGACATAATTGAAGAGCTCCAGAATTTTTTTGAGACGAGGGAAGGTAAGACTTCAACTTGATCAAAGGCATGACCAGGTCGTGACACCATAAGTGAATAGAATGTCATGAATGAAGGTGTGGACGCTGACAGGGGCAGAATGACTTGGTGAAGACTTTTAAAGAACACGAAAAAATCTCACAATTAAGGCCCAACCACATCACATTGTTGGTGTTGTAAGTGTACATGAGCCGGAAGCCAAGGCATGCACGAGTTTATCACCATTCATGCCATTTACATATTACAAGCATATGAACGAACTTTCGATGAAAGAAAATCTGCGGAGACGAGTGTACCAGTGCATATATAATAGTTCCAATAGTAGAACATTCGCAATCGGCATTAGAACGACCCAGTATACACTGCGTTGCATAATGATCAGCCACCTATGAATTTCACCAGAACGCGCGTTCCAGAGCAATCCAGGAAAGCGCCTAATATGGAACTTGTGCCCTGCCCGGACCGTAACTTGTATACCAATAACGAGTTCCATATCAATAACACGGACAATTTTCCGTTCTTTTTTTCGGAAAAGGTCACTTGCCTATGCTGCAAAATGATACAGCCACCTCATATTTTCCCGTCCTTTTGCATTTTCACCTCACACAAATGCTCAATTTGTGTCAAGTTCCAATTCAGGTAATGGGTAAAGAAAAGTTGCTATCCGATTTTGGGAAAAGCCAAATTCTGCAAAAGAGGAACGGGGACTTCCAAGTCGCAAAAACACTCGAGATTTGGACCGATGCCACTCATTTGTGGGCAATTTCGTCAGAAATCCTACGGAGTAGGGGCCAAAAGGAGTACGGGACGATTTTTTTTACTTTCGGAAGGCTATAAACGAGGGATGTCGATAGAACCTTCAAATACGAGGAAGTCGTGTACGGAACGAAGCTCAATGTCCCGAAAATTACTGTTTGGAACGTGATAGAAAAAGTCGAGTTCATCACTGACGAAAAATGGGAAGGCATTTTCTAGACCGAAAAGCATCGCGATAACCGGGTCACTTTTGCCAGGAATTCCATACGAACCGATGGGAGTAAGGTGTCTTTAGCTTGTAGTTTACTCTTGTTTCTCATGAGGTTTCGCTCTCCTGATTGTTTTTTTTTTTTTGAAAAATGTTTAACTGTGATGTCCAGATAGAAGCCGGTTCTACTGCACGACCTGAGAAAGGATAAGCTTTAGTTTTCCAGACGAAATTCCAAGGGAGGAGGAGTCATGGTATGGTGGCGATTTCTTCTCGTTAACGTATTCATTTATGGTTTGGTCCGAAGAAGCTCTTCCGGTTATCGAGTCGTAATGCAACATGCTCTTCATCCTTTTAGGTGTCAAAATCGGCAGCAGAACCTCTTATTCATGCAGGATAATGCCCCGATTCATTTCGCCAAAACTTTTCAGTGCCGCTCTCGAGAATATCATGCGTCAGTTGGAATGGGAAGACTTGGAAGTGAAGGTCGACGGCCGCTCTCTACATCACCTCCGCTTTGCAAACGGCATCGTGCTTATAACACCGAACATCGAGCAGGCGGAACGAATGCTGGCCGAGTCTGACAATGCTTGCGGAAAGATCGGCTTGAGACTGAACTAACGAAGACGATGTCCATGAAAAACGGATTGGTACCTGATGTTCCCTTCACGTTGATCGGAAGAATATCACCAAATGCTCTAGCTATGTGTATCCAGGTCGGGAAGTCAACATGATGAAAGACCTAGCTCCGGAGCTGTGCATAAAAAACGCGCCGCGTCGGGAGCTTTTAAGAAGATCGAGGGAGTAGTGAAGAAGACAAAAAACATCCGGCTTGGCGATCACCTTTCCGATACTGCTGTCCTCCCTGCTTTGACTTAGGCCTCGGAGACTTGGACTCTACGAAAGCAGGATGACCATGCTGTAAACGAACTCTAGGACGGCCGCCAACCAGATGGTCAGACTTATTCGCGAAAGCCCTGAACGAAAGAAATGTTAAATCTCGTGTCCCTGAAGCGAGGGCGATTCATTGGACCACTCTAACTCGTTACAGGGACGAATGGAGCATTACTAGCGCCCGCGAATGGAGACATTACTGATGACACAGGTGAATGCCCCGACACACGGCAGTCGGAGCATCCACGCTCGGCCTTAGTTGGTAACAAATCTTTTTGCCCTGGCTGGCCAACAGCCCCAACTTGGGAGATTCATGAGGAAGATTTATGAAGGAAACAAGCAGTTGGAGATATCAGTGAGCTGAAGAAAGCAACGTCAACAGATAGGGCACCAAGTTGACCAGGAGCTCATTGATAGCCTTTACTTTAGCTTAGACATCCGTATCTTTGAGATAGGTAAAAGGAATGGGGCTCAATTAATTACTGATCATGCAACATCCTCTCTTAATCGTTATTCAGCTGTTAAATAAATTTATTTGGTGCGTGGCTGTATCATTTTGCAACATAGGCAAAGTGACCTCCTCTGAAAAAATGAAGGAAAAATTGTTCATATTATTGAGATGGAACTCGTTGTTGGTCTATAGGTTACGCTCCGAGAAGGGAGCAATCTGAAGTGTCCTGGAACGTGAATTTTGGTGAAATTCATGGGTGGCTGTAGCATTATGCAATGCAGTGTATGACAAAAACCTGCTACCAAAAACAAAAACCTGCAACCAAAAAATTACCTGCTCCACATACATATATTTTGACTAAGTCATTCACAACCCGAATACCCATCCTATTGAATTTGCTCCAAGAAAAAATCATAAGAACTGTACATTAAGAAAAGCGAAAAAAGTCGGGACACGACCCGGAACTTCAAAAATTGCGACAAGATGAGATACGACCACAGCAACATAAACAGTTCATGCGTACTGCAAGAGTTTATCCATACAAAGACCATCCAAAAGCTTTAAATTTGGAGAAAATGTAAGCCAAATTTTCAGAAGTGACAAGCGAGAGATAAACCAGTGGCAATGATAACTTCGGTACGGTCTCCATGATAGTAGGAAAGTTCTGAGAGCCAGCCAATTTCGAAAAAAACCAACCGAAGAACAAGAGGAGGAAAACAAAAGTGAAAAATGAGGCAAACGTTCATTCCTAAGATTCGGGCGAAATCTTCTTAGAGTAGCGTTCCAGATCGTCCAATGACATGAAGTCCACGTAGTTTTGAATACTCTAAATGTGAAGTTAATATTAAAGGATAAAGTTTTTGGCGCTAATCATACCCGTCTAAGGGATGCGCCCTGCACTCGACTTCCATTCAGAATCGTAGTGGCGTAAAGAGTGCGTATGTGGCCTATACCAATGACTTGCGGTGGCCAGCCGATGTACAAGTCAGTGCTTTTATCGTCCCAGACAAGTCTGGTACCAATTAACCGACCCCAGCGGGATGGAAGGCTTGGTTGGCCTGGGCGGATATCGATCCGGGATTCGACTCCCTGATCGTGCGTGTGAGGTAGTGCGACACTTGCCACTACACTACCCCCGCCCGCTCTGAATGTAATGGATGATTAAAGGACCCGGAAGTGGTTTAAGATTAAAGGACCCGGAAGTGGTTTAATGGCAAGTAGCACACACTACAACACGAATGGCCCAGAAATACGTCCAAATCATTACTTGCTCAGGTCAACCGAATCCTCGATCCCTACAAGGTCATCTAAATAGTACCCGACTAGACTTGGAGGACGGAACACTGATGTATACGGGTGTATGTCGTTTGGCGCGGCCCTTCGCAGCCACTTTGCCATTGGGGCGCATGGACTTCAATTGCCACTCATACAACGCAATTTCTGCATCAACCAACTCGTCCAAATCAGTCAGCCTTTCGAATTACCATCAGCTATCCGCCTAATTAGAGTTGCTTCGTACATAGGCGCGAGGCGACCCTGATTAAGTTGAAGACTCAGGGATCACCGAGCTTTCAGTCATCCTCATTAGTAGTAGTAAGGGAGGAAATTGTGAAGAGTTTCAGAGTTAGCAGTTTCATTCGTCCCTTTATGCAAAATTTACCAGCAATATAATTTTGAAAACCACATTAATATTTCAAACTCATTCACATTCATAGTACACAGTAGCACGTTCCACCTTACCGTTTTTTCTTCTCTCAGAGACCAAAAAGGATAATCCTGTAGATTAAATCCAAGAAATCATGCATATAAAAATGATCGAAAAATTCGGAAGCACATCTACTATTCTCAAAAAAGATTGACAAAAACTTGAGAGATGTCAATTACCACTACATGGTGGGATTTCGGATTTGCGGGTTTCCGCTTCTTGCTGAACTTTTCCTTACTGTACTTCTTGAGTTTTTTCTCTATATTTGTACTCAGCATTTCGTGATTAGCTGTTTCCATATTCTTGTGATGCTATCCTTCTCTAGCCAGAAGTTGAGCAGTAGTTGAATCCTCGACCTTCGATTCTATTTATAAGGCAGGGGTACGAAATCGAAACGGGACAAGGAGATTTTTGATCATTTGACGAGAATGTTCCGTGCCGAGAACCGCTCCAGGCACTTAATGCTAGAAGGAGACTAAGTAATCATTTGAATGCTTGTACCTCCAAGAGGGAAGGTTAGATGTACATTTAACGATTATATTTTCAACTATGCATGATAATAACTTCTACAACCAAAAACTTAATAATTTTATTCCTTCTTGAACAATTATTCTATATAATCTTTACAATTCCTTTACTTCCAACTAGATCAATGAGGATGACTGGGAGTTTGATGATCTCTGAGTCTTCAACTTAATCAGGGTCGCTTCGCACCTAGGTGCGAAGCAACGCTAATGGGCCGGTAGCTGATGGTAATTTGAAAGGCTGACTGATTTGGACGAGCTGGTTGACGCAGAAATTGCGTTTATGGGTGGCAATTGAAGCCTATGCACCACATGGCAAAGTGGCTGCGAAGGGCCGCGCCAAACGACCGCCTCCCTTTCGGTTTAGAATAATTCACGCCGTCCGAAAAGTAAATCTAACAAACCCGCCTCCATTTAACTCTGTAGATGGGGACTGCTGAGCTGCTTTTTCTTATAATTCAATATAAACCAGTTCCAATATCATAAATAGCGAGTTGTCTACTATATTTGTATTTTTATAAGACGAGAGTTCTGAACCAAGAGGATCGCATCGCGCACACGGTGAAGATTCTTCTTTAATTGATATGAGTTTTCGAAGGATGGTGGAGAAACAGTAGTTAGACTACGTTTTTGCAAAAAACCTTTTGAGAGGCAGGTTGTCTGCGACTGCAGTTCTCCTGAACGGTCTGTGGATCAATGAACTCTCAATTCTGATTGATCAGATATTAGGCCCATAAAACCCTCAAGAATCGAGCACCTTCTTCCATTCCGGAACTTTTTTAATGGAGCTTTTCGGTGTTGTGAGACTTCCCTCATAAAAACCGAGAACAAGCGAATCTTTTCTATGAGGCACATCCAGCCTTACAAAGAATTCAATGAAAAGAGAAGGGCTCAGGAAACACAAAAGTTGAAGCATTCTAAGCATTAACCTTTATAATTTTTTTTTCCAAAATTTCAACTTTGGAGAATTCGAGAGAATCTGTAACGAGAAACCATATATGTTTTCGTTCACTGCTATAGTTGTTTTTTTACGATAATGACTGAACACCGAATTAGGCAGACGTCGAAAATTCCTGATGCCCTCCGATAAACAATTAGCTCTGCCTTGACAACGGCTTATCTGTGATTAGGTAGGTAAATTTTTGTGAAGGAGAAACATCAACTCACTGATCAATAAGACACAAAGAAGATGACATAGATCAAAACATTATTGTGCACGATTCAGTATTGCAAAAAGGGAAAGAGCATTCTACCCATTAATCATCTGAGGGCCATGACGTCATATCCCGATGAATACTCGGTCCTAAGAAAGTCAGTCAGAAATTGTGGGCCTACGTATGAGCAATTTGTCCAAATTGTTGATGTGAAGTTACCTTCGATGAGCATAATTTGAGATAATTACGGAACAACACAGCCTTACACTTCTTAAACAGTTCTATGTGAGTGTGAACACAGCAGTTAGTGAAAACATACTGCTGCAGTCCATCATCTGTGGTCCCACCGATCATCGAATTCCTCGAGCGGACGCCAGTAAAGTCTCCATTCTTCCCTGTCGCACACAGAGTAGTCCTTGCCCTCCGGACTCCGGAATTCCTTCCGCACTTGCGTGAAGAGAGAGATGCCGAGTGCCGCGCTTTCCCGCAAGCGTTAAATGACGCTGACTGCATGTATATACTTTTGTAGAATCGATCTCTCCGATGCGTTCTGAAGAGTGATTACAATCTGAGACCCCATGACATCCATAAAAATGATACTTTAATACTATTCTTCGAATGGAATCCTCCCTCCCAAATGTGTGAATGCGATTTTGAGCATAAGAAATAATAACCGCCTTCTTTCGAACAACGAAGGCAATGTGGTACACGACTCCAAACTCATTCAGTAGTTCAAGAGACTATTGGAAAATCCAAGTTGTGCAGTGAACAGAGCTGCACCAGATGTACCCGCTGGAGTATAGCGTAATCACTAGTGATCGATCCCTCTTGAATGCGGCACATATCCAGCTTCCTTTGCAAGTTGCAGAGAAATCCTATAAAAGCTCAGCACAAAATTGGTTGACGAACTCAAACGATGATCCAAGCAGTGATGGTACCCGCCCGGCTACTCCGGTAGCACCTATCATCGAGCTCAAGAGGATAAATGGTTAAGCAACTTTACTTGATCCTAGTACTCCGTTTCCTGAAAAAATTTAGGATCCGGTAGCCAAAGCGGAAAAAAGGAAAAATCGGAATAGTGGGACCAAAATTCTCCCGAACCAAAGTAATCTCTTCTTGCTAGTACTTCGACCAATAGTAACAGTTAACAGTCAATTCGAAATGGTCTCCATGTAAGTCGCTCCTTTATTAGTTACTAGAGTAAAACGGGACCTAATAAAACATACTCTAGCAGCGAACGTCTGCAACATCACGTGAAGCCATACCTTTCGTAAGCGAAGGTTATTGAGAGGAGTTGCTGAATCGCCTAGAATCGCCTTCACACGAATCTCCATCAGTGAATCCGAATCAGCCTAATAACGTAGATTTTACATCATCCTTTGTAAATAACGTAGCTTTCTGATGAAATTCTCATGAAGTAACCTTGCACGGCCCAACCATATCTCCAGTATTAATTACAACCGTCAATTTGGCACCTTCCTTCAAGCCAGCTGGGAGAAGTTGCGAGTCGTCATCTGAAATGACACTGTGCAGGCGGTAACTAAGGCTGACTATACTACATATAATAGGAACACATACCAAGAAGTGGTTTGCCCGCATTCAAAACCTTGAACGAACCATACGGGAGAAGCATTTCATCGGCGATTTTCATTTTCAGATGCCGTACTTGTATATCAGGTAAAAGCTGAAGCAAGATACGGCAAGTTTTTATGGAAGTTCTTGCTTAACATCACGACCCAAAATGAGCCTTGTTTTCCGTTTTTCAATCTTAAGCATGGAAAAGCTGTTTCCATAACATTTGCGAGCCACAATATTTTGCACTCTCTGTGATAGTATTATATAAAACCAGATGGGCTAAGCACGCTAATGAGAGCACGGCATGCCCTCTCCCGCTTACCTACGACTTGTTAGAAGACCAATATGAACAGTATCGCTTGACTTTCCATTTCATAATTTCATTGTACCTGCGAGACTTTCGGAAGAACGCAAAAACGGGCATAGATAACAACACCATTATAAGATGTCGTTATCACTGGACCTTCTTTCCTCCACGGGTACATCATTAGTTGAGAATCCCAAATTATTGGCCGTCGGCCGAGCTTCGTCGTGAATGATATCAAAACACAAAGTGAACTTGAGCTTCCACCGCATTACAAACCCTGCTGGGTAGCGGTCGTAATCTATATCGTAGTCGTAATCATAAATACATCATAGATACCACAGGAGTTGAATTCAGTTGGTAAGTGCTCTTACCAGTCGCTATCAGCTGTTATCAGTGCCTACCATCGGTCGCCTACGATCCCGTCATACTCCACATCACATGCCAAACTGTCAAAGCTCCACTATAATGTCATTATCATAGTGGCTCTACGCTTTCGAGGATTTTCATTGGCCCTTATCAGTTTTATCAGCTCCTGGCCTGGCACCAACCGTTCTCGATCCCGTCACCGAGTACCCACGATCCTGTTACATCTTACATCACCTATTGAAATACCAAGACTCCACTATTGACAGGAAGCGCGTCACAGACCTACAGGCCCTCGCCTTCTATGACTTCTTATCAGTGCCTATCACTTGATATCATTTTCTGTCACCAATCACTAACGGTCCCCTCATATACCACCTGCTACACCGCCTGCCAAAGTGCCAAGGTTTCACCGCTAATACGAAGGGAGTTACGGATACTTAGGCTTTTGCCTTTTAAGGCTCCTTATCAGTTTCTATCGATAGTTGTCACTTCCAATCATCTACCATCAGTGCCATCAGTGTTCCCATCCCGCCGTATATCTCTCTTTCAAATTTGAAAGCTTTAGCTACAATGGGACCGCAGTTATGAATTTCCGGTCGGACAAACACACACATACTCACACACACACAAACACACCAAAAGAGACACTTAGCCGAATAAGTAGGATAACTGCTCTTGGTTACTTGAATGAGTTAAACATTCAGGTTAGATAACAAGATGAATAAAACTGGTCATTACCAGACTCGAATTCGGGCGCAACTCTCACATCTCCACTCAAGGGCACAATTGTACAATAGCTAGGGGGTCGGTAACGCACATTTGAAGGCACAGTTCACGATAAAAATCGTTTCTGAGGTTTCCCCGCAGGATGAATTTGAAACTCTTTCTGATACCATATGGGCTGGTATTAGGTAGAGAAACGCCCTGCATAGGGCCCAATAAGGGGGGGGGGCATTGTGCGCGTGAATGCCACACCCGCAGCGGACGAGTCTCAACAGTGTTGTAGAGGCTCCACTATCTCAAGAAACTCCCATGTAGGAAGTTCATCAACTTGTCATGACCCATGGCGACAATGAAAGGCAGTTTTAGACAATTCGGAGCTGATTCTTTGAGCAATTGTAACGGATGAAATCTCGTCCGAATACCCCTTCCATGCCATTTCCGTCATGTTCACCTCGTACAACCTCTATTTCCACTACTTTTGGAAAGTCTTATTTTTCGTATTCTCTCGCTTTCTTCGCCACCGACGCACCATTCCACATCAACACTACCTTTTTTCCACTTAAAATGGTTACCTCGAAATTATCGTGAACTGTGCCTTGAATTTCCAGGTGGAAATGGCCCTGTTCACATATCTAACTATTGTTCCACAAACTGCTGCGTACGGCCGTATGCAAATATTTTTCTTGGCGTAATTCAACAACAATAAGCCATGATTTGTTGCAGATTAGCTGGATCATACATGGTCCATCACCCTGGACGTCATCTATTCGAAGAAGCGCGACCGATTCAACTATCCCTCCTGCCTCACGTTGAACTAATCCCACGCTGCTTATAACAGAATTTCGCAATACTGGTCAATTCTAAAAAAGAATCGAATGATGGACTCACCTCAATAGTCGCCGTATCGTCCTTCCCACCGAGTAGTTTCACCGTAAACAGCATTACCTGTGCCACGAAGAGAATGAAACTGAGAGATATCAAGGAACAGACGGCTCAACAAAACAACTACATGAAAAAAATAGTTGAAAAGGTCTAAGAAGTTTTTAACTTCACGTTCTAGGCAGTAACGGGCCCATTATAGCCTGATCAGCAAATGAACGAAGCAATGAGCAGCAGCATACACAGCGAGATCTCGTGCGCATCCATAGCGGTCATAACCGTTTTCAAAAAGACTAGTTTCCGATAATCATGCTTAGTAGCTCCCACAGACAAAGAAACAGCCATGCTATGAATGATTTATGAAAGGCTTCACTCAATCATACCTGAAAATGATAACAACGAACAAACGAAAGTTTACATCCTCGGCTGTTAGACTGTTGTAGTTTGAAATGGACATCATTTTCATGATACCAATAAAGGTTCACATATGAAACCAATCAATGCTATTTATACTCAGTTCTCACTGCCCTTAGCCGTCGGCATGAACACTCAAGCTGGAATGGGAGAAAGACTAGATACAACAAACACAATAAAGGCTTTCAACAACAACCAGGAAATTAAAATGGGGCTCAACGGTTATTTCAAAATTTCAGGCTGTTTGATCTCACATGAGACGTAAATAGACAGCTATTATAATAGGGCCTATCATACCTTTTGGAAAAACTGCTTTCTCTATTACCCTCCTTAACATACGGCTTCCAGTTTTGATAACCAAACTAGCTTAAACTCTTTCTTGGAAACCATTCAGAATGCTCTTGGTGGTTCCGTGTTCATGCCCACCGAACATCAACTCTACGTTTCCCTGAACAAAAAGCATGCGGGTCACCCTATCCATACATTTAGATAGAACGTGTCTGCTCCATGCTATTTCTCACAAGTTAATTCAAACCAGCATTACCTGTGAGACGGTTGCTTGTAACTCCTAATGCTGAACACTTATTTCCAGCTGTTCCTTCATCTCGAAAAACCCATTTCAAGCTAATGTGTTAGTCATCCTTAGTTCCTACATTTCACTGCTATGAAGCAATCTAGGCTTCAGAGCTAGCCTTGCATGCTTCCGTTCCTTGCCTATGAGATATATTTAACACATAGGCAACAGCAATCAATTTCCGACCACTATAAATCGATTTCCGCTGTGGTCTGATGACATTATGCCGGGCAAGGAGAAAATGTCCTTCTTATCCAAGTCAAGTCTCTAACAATCTAATGTAAAATTGTGTAGAGGGGATATCATGGTCATATCCCCTGTTCAGACGTAGATTGGTACCGACAGTAAACGGTCAGCTTGGCCACTGGTTTCTGGAGGGCGAATCACAGGTATGTGCAGTGAGAGAAATCGTTCCTGACCAACGAAAGGTTCCACGATGCATACACCTGTAAATCACATATTTCACCGTGAGAGTTATTAAACGCGGAAAGAAACCGACACAGTTGACGAAGATAATATTTCTATCACCTACGTGCATGCGTGAGCTCAGGAAACAGCTGCCGGATTTCATCCGGAAGGCGGTCACCAAAATAGAAATCGTCTACGACGTGATTCGGTATCGAAAGGACCACGTTCAAATAAACTTCTTCACGTACAGGAGCTGCTTTCGGTAGGTCTATGCCTGCATGATGTGACTTTTCTAGATGACATGCTTTCAAAAATTATGTCTCTGCGGAGAAATTGTCCTAGTCTCACCGTGTTCGCGATCTAATGCACTTTCAACTGAATTATTCATTTCAGAACCAGATCCTGAAGCAATGGACGAAGTGCCACTGCAATCCACAAACAATTCTGAACACAACATTTGAACCTATACCCTTTTGTTCAACAGAAATGGAAAAGGCCCTTCTAGGAAAAAATCTAAAAGAAATCTAAAAAAAAAAAATCTAAAAATAGGAAAAGGAACAGAACGGAAAGGAGGAAGAAAACTTTTGAAGAGTCCCCAACCATCGAAAGTGCACGGTATCGCGGTTGAGCGCGATTGTATATATCCAACCAGTTGGGCTACGCACGCTAATGCGTGCATCATTATCAGATGTCTTCATCACTGGAACTTCTTTCCTCCACGGGTACATCATTAATTGAGAATCCCAAACTATTGGCGGTCGGATGAGCTTTGACGTAAATGATATCAAAACATAAAGTAGCCTTGATCTTATACAGAGTTACAAACCTTGCTGGGTAGCGGTCGTAATCTATAATATATTATAGTCGCAATCATAAATACATCGTAAATACCACAGGAGTTAAATTCAGTTGATAAGGGCTCTTATCAGTCGTTATCAGCTGTTATCAGTTCCTATCATCGATCGTCTACGATCCCGCCACACTCCGCATCACATGCCAAACTGTCAAGGCTCCACTATTGATGCCATTATTATAGTGGCTCCACGCTTTGCAGGATTTTCATTAGCCCTTGTCAGTTTTATCAGCCACTGGCCTGGCACCAACATTCTCGATACCGTCACCGAGTACCCACGATCCTGTTACATCTTACATAACCTATTAAAATTCCAAGATTCCGTTATTAACAGAAAGTGCGTTACAGATCTAGTGACTCTCGCCTTCTATGGTTTTTTATCAGTCCCTATCACTTGATATCATTCCCTGTCACCAATCATTCACGGTCCCTTCACATCCTACATCACATACCCAGGTGTCAAGACTTTATCTTAAATACAAAGGGAAATATGGGTCCTGTGGCTTTTGCCTTTTAAGGCTCCTTATCACTTCCTTTCAATTGTTGTCACCTCCTACCCCCTAAAATCAGCGTTCCCATCCTGTCATCTGTATTCCTTGCAAATTTGAATGTTCTAGGTTCAGTGGGACAGGAGTTATGAATTTCCGGTCAGACAAACACACACACATATATATATACCACACACACATAACACACCAACAGACACACTTATTGTTAGCCGATTATATAGGTAGGATCTATTCATCGACTAAAGCTTTCGTCAGTTTAAAGGCACAGTTCACGATAATTGAACGAGCTGTGCAATGTGTGTCAAAGCCTACGTGAGATGCGACTAACTGACTACAGTAAGCAAAGCATTCACTCATAAGCATAGGTAAGCAAAAAAAAACCCTAGTAACAGCAAAACAGCAAAAATAGCTCACCTCTTTTTCAGCCTCTTGGAGTAGGAAATTAAATAAGGGATCGTGGCAGCAAAAAAAAATAACAGAGGAAAACAGAATGGGAGAAAAACATTGCCTCATCACTCGGCGATCAGCTGGTTGTGTGTGGGTCCTACATAGATCAAATAATTGCAATCTGTATCGCCTCGACACTCGTCTGACGTGACGTCGATCGAGAGGCGAGATGACCGTGCGAGCCGGGAACAGAGCTTCCTATATACCCTAAGCGTCGAGTTTTTGGGCGCGAGAGGGTCTTTCCTATGGCCCTTAGATGCCACTGAGTTTTCCTAAAGGAAGAACTCACTAACCAATGTCATCGAGGACCGTGCCTTTAAATTTTCAGCCAGCTCGACTTTACCTCTATACAGAGCGTGTTTGCAGCCGGGAGATGAATGCACAAATGCACAGGTACAACGCATCGGTATACTTGCATGTTCAGCACCAGGAGAGCAAATATTTCACTTTTTTCGGGTGTGGATCACGACAAGTCACATGGGTAATCTTATCAGTAGAACACGCGGCAGCATCAGCCATCTCTACACGACTGGCTGATACCGCCGTGCCCTATAAGATATCGTGATATCGTGAAACACCTGAAGGAGAAGGACCATGACTAGCCACTGACGTCCCATCCGCAGGTGGTTCGATCAACACAGTACATCTTTTAGCAACTCCTTCAAGCGAAAAAAAACTAAAGAACAATGAAATCTGAAGACGCCACCTTTCTGAGAGGGCAACACAACATGAGACTTCTGATCCCCACTGTTGTTAGAGTTTTGGCATTCCTCGAAACTTGGAGATGTATTTTTGAACTCAACCGGAAGATTACACGATTCAGTGTCGCTTGGTCTATCCCTGAAACATAATCACTATCGTTTTCAGAACACAATCAAGTTCCCCATTCTGCTAAACCCGGACTCACCCGGACTGGCAGTACCAGATGGGGGGGAATGATAGCACTGTCAATTAACAGGATACAACAGGCAAGCTATTTCCATCAGCTGCACGCGAAAACAAAAAATAGTACCGGGAAGAACACTAGGAATGTAGCGAGCACATTTGAGCCGAGTGAAAGCAGTTCACGTAGAATGACCAGTCACTGGGCGTCATTTCCTGTTAAGCGACATAGCGATGCAAACGCAGAAGTTGACAAGAGGTGTTCGGTCTAATAATTTTATTTAGTTATTTAAATAATAATTTAATAGCAATTTAATAGGCACCAATAGCGCCTCATGAGCTCAAGCATTCAAGTGAAGAACGCTGCTAACTTCACGCAGAATCAGTGCTCATCTTAGATATGCAGGCATCTGCTGTGTCAAATATGTCACAACAAGGCTTCAATGGATGCGGTGAAAAATACATGTGAAGAACCACCCAATGCTACTGAATAGTTCTTCAACTTTGAGAGTGCGTTACACAAAGTAAAAAAGTATGTACATGGAACGCTTACAGTTTCTCACACGACTTTCTTATCGGAATAGATTTCTTGAGGCGCTTCCAGTGCACTAGTGAAACGTGATCGGAGGATGGTTCACCCATACCACAATATCCGCAGCTAAACAGTTGTTATTCGATCAGTTGGCTTAATGAGACAAAAATTCCGCTCTGATCTATGCTTTTTATTGCATTTCCTGAACGTAGTGAACGCAAGATTATGCCGGTTGACATCAATCTTACAAAAAGTGGTGGCGGCAAATTAAAACCAATGCTTCAAAACTACGACGGGAACCAGAAACAGAAGATCAAGTATTCTAATCATTGACAGCTACTCGAAAAGGATGTGTCCTGCATGCACCCTAATCATTCTCTGATTCGTCGGGGGTTATTTTGCTGCATATTATGAAGAGAGGGGTTCCTTCCTCCCCCCCCCCACCTTCGTCGTGCCTTCCGTTCGACTTCATAAGACGGCTGGCGCATACCTCGGTCCCGTCGGGAAAAGTACTCTGTAGAAAACGGCAGGACGCTACGTGACTGTGCTTAGCCACGAACTCTGGGACGCAGCTCCAGAGGGAACCGAAGCACATTCTATGGCCATCGACCGTGGTGCAACTCCTGTCGGTGTCAATCTCACGCAAGGAAGATTTGAAGGAGTGGTTTGCAGCCAGGAGTGAACGAAAGAGCAGCAGTGGAGGTTGCGAGAATTGAATAGCCCGACTTAAGGGTGAGCAGGATCGTACCCAGCCGTAGGTTTAGTGTTTTACAGTAGTTGTAATCGTAGTTAACCGCATTTACTCGCATTTATCCTAACATTTATTCCCTTTATTTGCATATTTGCAGTTAATCATAAATCCATACAATCCATCCATGTAGACTCAGCGTACGTGAAGTGCAGATCTCTTCGTATTCCGCAGCCATCCCAGAATGCGGATTAGGATATCGCAGGCTTTCGGAGGATCATGCGTCCAGCGCCCTGAGGGAAGCTCGGCGCTCGACGAGCAACACCCTAGCGTACTCCGGAGGCAGTGGCTGCGTTCATAGTCCGCCGGCCGGTCGGCTGACGTAAAAAGAATTAATTCTTATGCAAGAAGTCTACGTCTGTTGCATTTTATTTCACGGTCAGATTGTTTACGGTCGGATTCTGACCGTGAAATAATGGAACAGACGTAGATTTCTTACATACGAACTAATTCGTTCGCGCCAGTCGTCCGGCCGGCCGGCGGACTATGAAAGCGGCCAGTACCATCCCGTAGGAGCACGTAAGGGCACCGGTAGCAGCCGAGGCCTACCATGTCGGTGTGGCAAGTGATCCCGAGCATTAGCGAGCGGGCATAAGACCCCAACCACCTCAATCACGCCGCCTGGGTCGCCCTGCCGAGCAACCACCGATGCGGAAAGGCCTCGGCGGAATGGCCCCGATGGCGCGACACCCGTTAATTGATGATGTTCGTGGCAAAGAGGAAGAATCTCAAGGCGACCGCACTACCTTCTGCATAAGGATGCAACTGGTGAGAAGAACTAAAGGTTCAAACAAATTAAGGCTTTTCCTATGCATGAACCTACATATCCTTCTTATGGACCTCCAAGGCATGTTCTGCTTTTCGCAATGGTGCAGCCGCAATCCAACCACATTCAGCACATTGTGCACTTACGAAATGCTCCTTTTTCCAGTGTCTGTCCAGCTTGAAACAACAAAAACAAACATCAAAGACAGTTGACCTGTGATTAACTACGGACTACCTGCACACGCTGAGTGAACAACCGGTCGCATACAATGCACAGAAATGATCCCCGTTTGCGACACGAATCTCGATGAATTCTGAACAAAGATGCTCTCACTTCAAGCATAGCACTTCTTAAAAAAATTCGAGCCGAGTTTTCAAACGCATCTGTACAAGCGAGTTATCATGTACTAATCTTGTCTTTTCTTGCCACTGTAAACCTCACAAAGTTAATGACAAGCCCTGCAAGCGCAGTCCTACAGAGCTGTACAGCTTGTGTTCGAAGGCAACTTGAGGGAACCTTGTTAAGGAGTTCAGCGCTACGACACCGAAAGTACTTTGGAATTAGGCAAAGAGAATTTTGACCAAATCTGGGTGGCTATTTGGTCGAAAGTCTATGTGCAGACGCCCAACAACTTGAGAGCCAAGAACCTTACAAGGAACACATGCAAGTCTTTCCAGTTAGATCCATCAACAAAAAAAGGGCAGTCGAGATCTCTGGTGCAGACTTATGTTTGTTGTGAGCACCCATTTGAGTAAGCTGTGCATTGCCAAAAGTTGTAACGCATGGATACATTCCACATCACTGAGCCTTCAACTGAATGCGCCTGGCTTTATTCACTTCAACCACTATGACGTAACGACAAGAAAAGGAAACCTGTTCAATCGCTGTAGTACGAAAATATCGCATTAAACAAGGTACTACATCAAGCCTACCGCAGACTCAAAGTTGCTTAGTTATGAATCCTACTATATGTGACGCACTAATTGTGTATGTGTGTGTGCGCGTGTGTGTGTGTCTACGTATGTGTATGTGCATGTGTTGTTTTTGACTAGAAATTCATATGGCTTGTCCCCGTGTCCCCCTGTCAAATTTAGTAGGAGTACAGGCGGCGGGATGGGAGTACTGATGATTAGTGGCAGGGCTGGACTCCTCCTCTACGGGGCGGGATTCGAGCGGAAATTTTCAAACTTTGGCCCAGGGGTTCAAAATCGGTAGGGGTACAGGCTACAAGATTAGGACACTGGTATTAGGTAGTAGGAAATGAATGAACTGGATAACGTAGGGGGCGGCGCGTGCGTAACCTGGGTAAATCTGCGCAGTCGCGTTGAAAAAAATACGGAAAGAACCAAGTTACTCTAACACACATCAGTTGCTCATGACGTAAGAGGCGCTCACTAGGTGTGTCGGGTGTGTGTGTTTGTTTGTCTCGCCGGAAATCTACACTTTCTGTTCTATACCAGTGTCCGAATTTAAAAAGAACGTGGGCTGCAGGCCATTTTTGCGCGAAAAGGAAGTGCCCGACGTCAGCCGGGCGATTCGACTGGTGTTATTCAAAAACATACCGTAGCTCAGATAGCCGAGAAAATGAAGCTCCACATGAACATTCAAATGATTGTGCTCGTTGTCGCAATTCGTGCGCCCTGAAATTCCCGTAACCGTCGAACACCTCGCCGCAATGTTTACATTTTAGTGGACGGTGAGTGTTCTGAAAAATTAGATTATTACACTTAGAGTAGATGTAGACGTTACGGTGTTCTTGAGCATAAAAGGACTGATTGAGCGCGTTTCAACAAACTCTTCATCACTGTGGCTTAAAGTCACAGTTCACGATATTTCATGGCCTTCCCGCCTCTCGATCGCTGTCACGTGAGACGGTCAGACGAGTGTCGAGACAAAACAGATTGCAACTATTCGTTTTAGGACTCACACACAATCAGCTGATAACCGAGCGGTGAGGCGACGTTTTTCTCCCATTCTTTTTTCCTTTGAATTCTTTTTGCTGCCGCGATTCATTATTTAATTTCCTACTCCTTCAGGCTGAAAAAAGTGAGCAACTTTTGCTGTTACTGGGGTTTTTTGTTTACTTATGCTTATATGTGAATGAATTGTTGCTTACCATAGTCTGTTATTCGCACCACGTCCCACACGCACGCAGTGAGATACATTGTATAGCTCGTCCAAACGCCCACTCTTCTTCATTTTTCTGGTCTCATTCTCGTCCAGCCCTCTGTTTAAAGGCTCCGTTCACGATAATTTTGGGTAATCCAGATTATGCTGAAAAATGGAAGACAAGATCGAAACTAGCGCGACTGAGGTGAAGAAACTGCGTGCATCGGTGTTTCCAAAGTGAGAAAGGCTTCGAGAAACCGTTAAAAAGGGGGCTGGACGGGAATGAAACCAGAAAAGTGAAGAAGAGTGGGGCGCCCGGACGAGCAAAACAGTGTGTTTCACTGCGCGCGTGTAGGTCCTGGTGCGAAGAACAGACAATGGTAACAAAAAAAAATTCATTCACTTTTAAGCATAAATAAACTTAAAAACCCTAGTGACAGCAAAAGTAGCTCACCTTTTTCAGCCTCTAGGGGTAGGAAATTAAATAAGGGATCGCGGCAGCAAAAAGAAAAACAGAGGAAAGAAGAATGGGAGAAAAAGATCGCCTCATCACTCCGCGATTAGCTGATTGTGCGTGGGTCCTAGAACGAATAATAGCAATCTGTATTGTCTCGACACTCGTCTAACGTGACACCGATCGAGGGGCGGGAACACGAACTATGGCAACAAAGGGGCTGCCACTATGCCTTGGACGTCGAGATTGGGGGAGTGAGAGGGTCCCTTCTACAACCCATGGGGGCCGCTGAGTATTAGTAAGGTAAGAACTCAATAACTTTTTTATCGTGAACGGTGCCTTTAACGACGAACGTTAACAGTTTGCAGTTTGAATCAAGCGTTGTAGATGATGAATTTAATCCAACCGTGACTGTTGCAAAAGAAGGTTATCCTCAGCCTTGTCCAGGTGAATCAATCACTTAATTCTATGGTAAACATTTACCACGTTTAGGGAAAGTTCACCAACCGTTACCACAAATCGAAACGAATCGTCGCTCACGCTCAAATAGATCAGTCAAAATGTAAAATGTCCCACCTTCAAGATAAAGTTAAATATATAAAAGTTAGAAGCAGTTACCGTATGATGGCGATCTAGATCGGTTCGGTTGTCGAAGGTCATACCACACTGTGTACAGAGCAATCGCGAAAGAAGGTCACTACACTGCTGAGTAGATGGCGCATTTGTTTCGAGTTTTTCAAGTGGATCAATCGGCTCTGGAAGAAGGCTATAATAGCAAGTACCAAAAATGAAAGTATTAAGGTGGCCGGAAATTTTGCCTTTCAACTTTGAAAGCATGTTGTTCGCAAACTCGCTAAAGAAGGATTGTAGATTCGATAACAGGAAAATGGCATTGCTCATAAATCAGTACTCTAGTTGATCGGCATTTGACGAGGTCGTTCGAAGTAAGTAATTGTCGATTGAACGATGTGTCATCGATGAAACTGCCGAAGCCTTCTACTTCAGCGTTACGAAACTGGTCGCTTCAACACTCACAAGGAAGGTCTTTCGGGGCGTGGGACGCTTTTTGAAAAAGGTTTTTTGCATGATGTAGGGGCATGAGCACTGAGTACAGAACTATGGTCCATTTCCGCTCAATGGCCTCTGAATGCCAAAAAAGGAGCGAAAATTATTTTGTCAGAAATCGCCGTTTTAACCCACTGAGCGTTGTTTGTTTCATTCATGGCGTCATATGTCCGCACAGTAGAAGGCGCAAGTGGACTGTGCATTGAAAATAACGTGAACGGTAGCCAAAAAAAGGGACCCACATGTTGAAACATGTTGAGAAGTGTGGAGAAGTTTCATATGTGCTCTAAACGGTTGAACTGCTGGTAACGACGGATGGTGTGGTGGATAGCGATGTGAACTTGGAATTGGACGACTAAGTTGGGTTGATGGTTCGGGTTTTATGGTGTTTTTGCATTTTATGCTGCCACCTCTACATTGGCTCGATATTGCACCAGGGCCAAAGCAAGTGCCTGACTGGTAATGGTCGTGACCAGGACCAGCAATAACCTCTACAAGCCAGTAAAAGGATACGGCAGTCGCCACGGAGTAAAAAGTGAGTTTCTAGTAGAAGGATACGGTAGTCATCCCGCTCGACGTGTGAATTCGAGTAGAACTGCCGCCACCTGTTATGGATCATAAGGGATGGACCACGGTGTATTGGGGTTCCCGAACGGACCATAAGCTGTGATCATAAGGACGAATCTGCCCTCTCCCAGTTTTTGGGTGGTCGGCTTTTGAGTACTTGGCTCCCAAACTGGGGTGAACCTTTGAATGAGTTTCTCTTTTAGTTTATCTTAGTTGTCTTACTCGCGATCCACGAGAACCGACGTTACGACTCTGTGCTGGTGAACGGCTATTGCCACTGCTGGTCGTATTGGCGTCTCCTAAAAGTGCCGATTGTAGAACTGTTCATCGGCTTCTTCGTCAGAAGTGCGCTGACCGACACACGCCGAATCAATCGTATTTTCCGCCGTTGTCACCAGGATTTTCAACGCACATGAAGAGCACTGTGAACTCATAGCTCCTGCGACAACCTTCCCTCCGAGGCACGGCATTTGGGTGATTTATAACATGATGGCGACGTGGGGATACCCATATCATTCATTAGCTGTTACGTGGGCAGGCCAGGTAGTACTTCCTTGGTGCCTCACAGCACAGCCTACCTTCACCCATGTCACAGCCCGCTCACATTGCAGAATGGTTGTGTTGCTATGTTACTTACAAGCAAATCAGAATGATAAGCCGTGATTTTTTATAACTTATCTTTCATTTCATTATTGCTGATAAAAATGGTTTCCGCGGTCTGATGGTGATTTTCAGTAGGTCTAGCTTGTATGTGGTTACATGAAGGTGGTGGTCTTGGGAAGGGATAAGCTAGAGAGAATGGAGTGAGCGGGCATAGGGCGTACGTATAAATGCTGAACAATGAATTTCCCAGAAGTTTTCCGACGCTATGAATCTCTCCATGAATACGATCCCTCCTTCCCTGAAGAAACTGTATAGGAACCCTACATGCGGATTCTAACCAAACCATGAACCTATAATGACACGTTTCAATGCTTACACAATTCTGATCAATTTTTACTGTAACGAAACCTCCCACATATACACATGGAGCCAATCTGGAGGAGGCAGCATAAAATGCAAAAACGGCAGCGCCCAAAAAACCCGAACCATCAACCCAGCCTAGTACCCAGTAGCCACATATGAAACTTCCCCGCACTTCTCAACATGTTTCAACATGTGGCTCCCTTTTTTGACTAATGTTAGCGTTATTTTCAGTGCGCAGTCCGCCGTCGCCTTCTACCGTGCGGACAGTCGACGCCACGAATGAACCTCGCTTAGTGGGTCAAAACGGCAATTTCTGACAAAATCATTTTCACTCCTTTTTTGGCATTCAGAGGCCATTTAGCGGAAATGGACCATAGTTCTGTACTCAGTGCTCATGCCCCTACATCATGCAAAAAACCTTTTTCAAAAAGCGTCCCACGCCCTGAAAGACCTTCCTTGTCAGATTGAAATGAGAATGGCGACTGACAGTAGTGACCCTCTTTTGTCACAAATAGCATGGTCGCTTCCTCCGAGAAACGGTATGCTTCGCAAAGTTTGTCGAATCGAACGTCCACTGCCCTCAAATACCGACACTGTTCTGTCCTCCCGCCAGAGCAACCCTCCTCAAAGTCTCAAAAAACGGAAAATACGATCTCTATTCCCAAATCCATCATCCACGACGTCCTACGCAAAAATCGCTTCCAAAGCAGGACTCTGCAAGTATTGCATACTTCTTGACTGAGCAAGAGCAACTAGTACAAGTCATTTCAGTGTTAGAAGCCCTTCGACAATAAGAAAACGACGAATCAAGCGAGTTTGTTATTACGTTGTGCCTGGACAAAAAGTAGATACCATATGAGCATCCACACAGGAAATGGCAATGCCTACCAGCGGCCGTCAGGCCACAACTCGCTTCAAAAGACTTAAGCTCACTCTTCCTCTGCTCAAACGGATACTTTACTTGAAATCCTACCGGAGTGTGTTGCGGTAAACGCAAGAGTATTCTGTTAACAACTGAGAAAGATGGTGTTTCGATCTTCCAATTTACATGGATCACAAGGAAATTTTCGATTATTAGGTTATTAGGAAAGAAATACACGCTTTAGTTTTAAAATTTTCTCGTATAAAAACAAAACCAAACAAGACTTATTCAAGAGTAATCGCCATTTCTATCAATCACTTGTTGCCAGAGTTTATGCGAAGAATGGATTCCTCGTTCGAAGAACTCGGTCGGCTCCGACTCAAAGTAGTTAGACACCCAAAGTTGAACTTCTTCGTAGTTTAAGAACTTTCTCTCGGCCAGCAGATGGTAATTGGACGATGCCAGGTATGGGCTGTATGGCCGATGAGGCAGGACTTCCCAGCCCAGTTCCTCAATTGTGTCCAAAGTGATTTTCGCGACATGTGGACGATCGTTTTCGTGGATGAATTTTGTCGACGTCGTTTCGACACCTCGACGACGCAGTGCTTGATCCACGCGGTTCAACTGACCTTTGTAGATGTCCGTCGTAACAGTTTGACCCGAATCCAGACCCGAATTTTTTGACCCAAATTCAATGTAGACTTTATCACTCTGTTATCGACGACTTGAAGCCGACCTCTATGTTCTTTGTCCTCCAAGCTTTCATTACCGCTTTTGAAACGCTGGAACCATCGTCGACACTGGCTTTCCGACAGGGCCTCTTCGCCGTGTACCTCAGATATGGCGCGATGAGATTCAGCAGCCGATTTGCTTTGCTTGAAGTCGTACCACATGCGAACTCGCATTTGAAATTTTTGTTCAGACATTCCCTGGACTTTTTTTTTAAAACAAAAACGACGTAGACATAGACAAAAATCATCAAAAGATGCAAAATAAAACTCTCTTTCTAAGAGACAAAACTGTTTTAGAAAATCTTCTATAGTAGGAGAGAAATAAATGGACAAATCCAACGCGCATTTCTTTCCAAACAACTTAATATGATGGATAATGCTCGACCACCCCACGCCAGGACGTTGATGGATGAGCAAGAAGGACTCGGTAAAACCTGACTACCTCGAGCCCCACATATTTACTTAATTGACTAGACCCATGTGACTGCCATACTTTCAGAAGCCCACAGACCTGCTCTGAAGGGAAAAAATCCACCATCTGTCGAGAAGTAGGTGGTAGTTAAATTAACTGCGTCAATCTTTCTTCAATTTGGAGTAATGGCAACAATGCCATGTCCGGTATATGGAAAGACATTGTGGCTGAGAAGGGCCTCTATCTTTATCACTGATATGAGTTTTTGCTGTAAATTTTTTTTGCTGAAAAAACAGACTGAATTTTCTCAAAAATTTCCGGACACCCTAATACCATAACCCGATTCGACTTTCTCAAGTTCTTTCAGGATTGGATACGATTAAAAAGAATTTTTAAAACAACGCCTCATTCAGATGGAATCATAACTTGGAAATAACCACAGAGAAAAGCAGAGCTTCTAAAGAACCATTCAGAGGATCTGTGCCATCAAATTGAATTAGAAATGAGTTCATTGCGAAAGTCCAAAAACTATGTTAGAAATACCCTGCCATTCTTTCACGTCTCGAAATGGGTAGCGGGAAGCTCGAGCGCCGTAAAGAGGAGTATCGGAATTATGCTAAATTTTGAAAATCCAAATGATAACCGATACAGCAAACGAATGAAAAAAGTAATCTACTTGGCTTGTAGAGCAGTTCTGAAGAAATGTTTTACATACAACGAGACGGCGCTCTACTTATCATAATTCTCAGTATCTTTTCGGCTTCAATTTCTACTCTTTCGACAAAAGTCATCTCAGCAATACTTTTAGATGATTGCTCACTGCCTTTTGCTCTCCATTTATTAGCCGCTATTCTTTCCTCCAGTCCATCTCGATACTGAGAGGCATGCCAACGTCCAATATGACGCATTAAATGGGCCTGAAACACATTTCATGAGTTGTTAACCAAAATGCCATTCAAAAACAATCAATACTCGGGTTAACAATCTGCACTCATGACGACTACGTTGCCGAGAGCCCGTTAGCGTAGAACAATTTTTGTGAAGACTGGATTTAAATGCTCAAACAACTTTTTGAAAGTGCGGCAAAAATGACTACTCGAAAGAGCTTTTTTCAAAAGACTCAAAAGTAAAACAGACAACCCAGTTAATGGAACAGGGTAGCTTCCTTCCATAGAACGCAGAGCGAGAAAAAAGCGAAGGAGTATGAGTAAGGCTGCAGCACAGCAGCGTGACATATGATAAACATCACTGTTCTAGGCTCACGCTCACATGTTCTATTCACTTTCAGCTTATCTATGCATTAATAGCCAGGAATGAAATCTCTATGATCAAACGTAGGTGGCACATACGAGTGAACAGAGTAACCATGGTCTATGTCTATAAAAAAAGACAAGAAGACTCACTTTCTGAACAAAACTCTGTTCACAAAATGGGCAGCCCCATTCACGGTCTTTGATATGAATGAGCTGATGTCGCTGAAGGTGAGATAGACGAGGGAAACTCTGGAAAAGTCTACGATCCAAAACAAGTAATGCTCCATTGACGGCACTATGGAGGTTAACCTTTTACAAGGAAAAGCAATCGTCTTTTCACCTTGCTACATATGGAGCATTCCAGTGGTTTCTTATCCTCTTTCTCTTTACTATGAACTCTGGTCATGTGTTTGACTACATATCTGAAAAAAATTTCCGAGAGCGTTGGCAATTGTGACTGCGAATCGAGACCGTTTCACGTGGAAAATGAGAGCGCCGCAGAACGCAGTTTATCTATTTTCATTTTTTTCATGAAACTTCATGGGGACTAAGTTCACAAGTTGTTACAAATAGTTTGTCAGCTCGAACAAAAAAGCCTCCAAAATAAAATCCCCAGAAAGGGAGACGAACACCGGAAAGTTGAGAAACTAGGGCTGTAAAAAGGGGCAGGAAGAGGTGTGAAGATTTTAATTTTTCCGTTTTCCATTAACAATTCGTACATTAGGAGTTGATCTCAATCGCTGCAGTAGGTGAAGAGTAAGTTATTTGCATTCTCATTAACCGTTGTATATCGTGTATTGATATCGCTGTATAGTCCACTCGAGCATGGAAGTAGCCAGAATGTTGGATAGTTCAAACTACCCAATAAGAAGAAGCGATTCGGCATTTATGCAAAGACTTCATACAGGGCAAGTACCTGCTTTGAGAAAGCCGAAAGCTAAGGAAAAGTACCTGCCTTGAACATTCTTTGCTACAAGACTGCCTCTGACAAGAAAGGGAATTAAATTAAAAATGACGCCTCCCATTTGGAATGTGTCGTCTCAGTTAATATAAGGCCAAAGACTAACAATATTTGATTATCGGACCGATGCGGCCTCCTTATCGCTTTAGTTCCGAGGGAAACCAGTTAAAGATTGTCCTCAGCGAAATCATCTCAAACCATCCATCCGGAAATATCATTGGACCAGAAGTCGCATTTTATACCCTGGTTTTTTCGCGGAGAGGGGCGAACAAAGAAAAGCACATGGAAAATAATCGCTCGAGTTTGCCGCGTCATTCGGCTCTCGTTTCGTCAGCCTCTTTGCGAACACGTACGAAGGAGCTGCCATCCACCAGGATTGCATCATGTTCATGCACGAACCACGATATATAAGTAGCTCCTTGTTGTTAAAGGACTCATCCCCACTGCCACTAGGCTCTGGCTTTCCGAACCCTCGTCAGGCTGGATACCTCTTCCTGACCCTCTCCCCTCTATCCCCACTTATTGTATCTCAGCACTTACATAATGAACGTGAACATCGATATGTGTTATACATATTCTTGCAAAAGTACTCCCGAGTCCACCACACACTCAGTTAAAGGCTTAACGTATAATCTGATAAGTCAGAGAAACTTTTAGTCGCCCACGGTTATTGAGTTCGCGTACATAATACACTTCCATTTTAAACAGGCCCAAAATACCGTGCTTTTAGCAGTTGTTTATAACAGCCGTTGTCACTATTGCTGACGAATCGGCATTGCAGGTAGGTGAAAAAAGACAGTTGGCAATAAAGTAAACAAATAAAAAGAAAGTTTAGATAATCGACGAAACCACCCCCTTCCCAGAAACGCCAGCGACTAAACGTCGCATCGAAATTGTAAAAATAATAAGAGCGTAATGCTCTTGAAGAAAGACTAGTAGGGACCTTGATATGGACATCCAGCGTTTTCTGTATAAAACGTTTCAGGAGGTCCAGAGACGACTAGCTGATTAAATTTATTGGAATTAATGCACGCAACTGAGTAAACCAACTGAATGTATTCAACAGAACCAGCATTGGATGCGAAAAAGTAAAATTTTGATCTTTCGAGCCTTAATTTCATATACAATGACAGCCAACAGCATTCTACCTCATGCTTCCCAAAGGCTGCATTCGGGGAGCATTTGTTAGTTGCCAGCTAGGCACATACGTCCTCGTTATCACATCGCAGTGCGTGTGTGTTACATCGAGGCACTGTTCATCTCTTGTTCGTTTTTTGCACGTTAATGAATTAAGGATTTCGAATTTAATTTCATCCGAATTGAGAATTAGCACTCACCTAAGGCAAGCAAATGACTTCCTACATATCGTACATTCGACGACTTTCGATGTTCCACTCATTTGCACTTGGTTACCTAGAATATCGTACGCACGTACAATCTTGAATATACTATTGCTTCGGCGTTTGAGCTGACGTACTGCTGACACAGGTCCCAAACGCGTCTTCTTTCGGAAACGGTACTGAGAACATTATTCCTCACTAGAAGCAGAGAATCAAAACGGACTCAAACCGCTATTGAAAACCCTTCAGAACAAAATTTTTTATTGAGGTAAAGATTCGGAAAAATAGATCCTTTGATACATCATCATTGTAAAAGCACCTTGAGAAAAAACAATGCGATACCATTATGAAATATGGGAACTAACATACAATATTCACATTTACATGGAAAGTCAAAAGTAAGTAAAAACAAAGTGAGTGATAGTGATAAGTGTATTGTAATTCGAGGTTGGTGAAAAGATGGCACGCTGTATATCGAATTAAAAATAACAATTGGAAATTAATATTAACCATTGAAAATTATCAACCGAACGGTATTAAAGTGACTCCTGAAGTGAATAAGAATATGTCCAACACAGAACCCATATCCACAAACTATGTAAGGGCTTACAACCGAACATAAGTCATTGTAACGTCCCTTGTGTCGATCTTGGTGAAGGTCTGTTCACAAATTGAGACTCGTATAATTTCGCGTCAATAACAACGATGGGCACCAGAAGAGCTACCAAAAAGAGATGACACCTTCAGCAACTTCATAGTATCCCTCGCTTCGGATCCTTTCACATATTTATTTTCACTTCTCAACTCAACATTACGCGATATAAAGCATAGCAAGTGTTTCACCCCTAGTCGTGTAATCGACTAATTCGAATAGAGAGTGAGTTAAGTATAAAATATCCAGAAAGAAAGTAATTTCAAATCATACTGGTGAGGGACAGTGCTTATAAAGACATGACAGAATCATTATCGCTAAACTCGATATGTACATCGTTTATTGAGTCCTGTAGCCGATCCAATCCTGTCAGTTTTTCCAAATACGAGGGGCAGTTCATCACCTAGAAGAAAAAAAACGTTAAATCAGTATTTGACTAGTAGCACACAGGAACACACGGAAGAAACACTGAAAATATAGGGATTTGAAACATGTGGCACTAATCAAGGAAAGACCACCGGAGATCGAATTGTAGCGGTGAAGAAAGTTTACAACAGTGCTCCTAAAATGTTTAGGATAGACTGAAAACGCAAAGAATTTGCTCCACATCCAGAAATGAAAAAAACAACACTCGAGAGCCATTTGTTGTGTGGTAATCAAGGGGCACTGACGATGTTCAATCCTGTGTTTTGGTCCATGCAGATATGAATGTGCTAACAATAAGTGCCCGACCATCCTCTAACCAAAACTGCCCCTTCCCGTTCTAGCACTCTTTATTATCATCAGCCGGTACGTTATGCGCTTTCTGGAGAGAGTGAAATGATCTGAAGATCTGAGATGTGAAAATCTGATAAAACTATACAGAGGTAGTTTTCCACCAAGTAGAGCTTTACATGTTACAATTTTCGCCGTCCCATTTTTGAAAAACGCTCAACGCGACGCTTTATTTTGGAATTTCAAAAAAGAATGATGACCAGTTCATAAAATAAAGAGACCAGTGGCAAGTGTTTCGGGTGAGAGTAGAATCCAAAAAATGGGAAAGCAGAAATGGTGCAGTCAATCTCAGCGTTACCTCTTTAACAAATACTGCACCTCTAGACGAGTATTCTTCTGATACTGTGTTCCCGCAAGCGACACATTTTTCAAATCGCCGCACACATGGAGTCATCTGAATGACCGAAATCTCAAGAACAAACTACCTATTAAGAGTCATAGAATAACTTGCCTGACTGAAACGCGACAGATATCCTCGAACCTGATGCGGTGTTGCACCCAACAACGATGATGAATCATCCGGTTCGCCGATGTTTGCCGGGGCAAGCAGTGGGTCAGGGTACTGAAGTATCGAGGCCAGAAGCTCAACGGCTACGCCGGACGCTATCATCGATAGTCCTGCACGGCTGACCTGGAATTATCGAATTACAAACTAGTGCAGGCCAAGAATTCCCGCCCTTGCCAGGCCATCTTAGAATTTAGTAGTTTTAAGTAAATGATACTCTCAAAAACGACCTTTCATCAGCCACTGTTGTATGCATTTGATGAAAAAATGGATTTTGAAAGTAGAAGGACGAATGGGTAAAGCTATTCGTAAGATTGTTACAGAAGTTCAAGCCAGAAAAGTTTATAAAGGAAACCTTAAGCAAAAAACACAAATTCGACAGAAGACACACAATAATTGCGCATGTATTTATTACTGAAACAATAAACATTGAATTAGAGAGAGGAACTGAGTCAATCAATTCAACATATCATTAAAATTGGCAAGGCATATTTATGGAAGTACTGCGTTATTTCAATGAACGGCGCACTAAATTAACGAAGTGTGCCAGCTGCTTCACACAAGTCATTAGAGGAGAGCTGAGAACTCACTGTACACTGTTGATCAAGTGTTCGATCAACCGCGGAATTGCCAGGTGCAGTCACATCGCTACAGAAATAACATGCCAATTCCGAATACGGTATTAATGCACCTTCATGGACTGGAATAGTACCTGAAAAACTCTACAAAATTAAGTGAAGTCCGAAATGAGGCGTAAAGAAATGTTCGAATGGACCACCGTTCAGCCCCAAACGAAGCTGTAATTCCCGAATGCAATCCTACGTGGTCGCACTATGTCTATATCCACCCAAATTACAGCCAGTTACCAATCCTTACTATATATAAAGTGCTCGCGTCTGTCTGTGTGTGTTTGTTTGTACGGAAATTCGATATCAATTGAAGAAGCACCTGCAGAATCGGGTCAATTTCGTGATGTGTTGGGCATGGAGTGGAGCTCCGCCCAAAAGGGGCGAGACATGCACACGAGTGGGCGGTGTCATAGGCAGAAAATTATTAACTAGGTTCCATAACGCCCAGACGCCGAGAAAAATGGGCAAAAGTGAGGGATGGGTCAACATTCACAATAAAGGAAACTTACCGAGGGCGGGCGGAGCGATCTCGCAGTGGGCGGTACTTTCCACAGATTCATAACTCGATTCGTCGATTCAACGAAGGCGTCGGGTTAGGGAAAAATAAAAACAGTGAGCAAGGCCTTATGCGTGTTGGGCATGCATAAGGCCTTGTCATAGCAAAGCTAGGCCCACGATGGGTTGAGCTTCGCTATGTGCGTTGAGATGAAAGCTCCTTTTCAAAAACGAACGTAACTTCGTTCGGAAACAATCTAGAATTAGGGAGAAAATAATTAGGGGTAATGGAACAAATGTGGACAAAACTTCGAAGCGGGCGGGGTTGGCACAGGAAAGCGGGGCTGGAACCCCCTTCAAAACTTTCTAGAATGCGGAGAAAATGGTTAGGAGCACTCAAAAGAAGTGTGGTCAGGTTCATTGTGGGAAGGGTTTCACTGAGGTGGACGGTGCTATGATCAGCCCCGTCCACCTCAGTGCAATAATTCTGCTCGAATGAAATATATCGAGCGTGATGCTATAAGCAGTTCAGCGTTCGAATCTAAAGAGAATTATCTTACTCTGATCATACAACATTCCGCTGAATGTCTCCATCGTACGTAAGCGGTCATCGACATATAATGCATGCGATAGCGTGCATAGCCCAACTGGTAAAAGGTACAGTAAAACCTGCGATAGAAGCTTTCATTAGCCGAGATAGCGGCTATTAGACAGCTTGCTACTATTACTTGTGCAAACTAAGTGAATGCCACCTCACTTTCTCAAGTATAAGTAGCTAGCTCAGCGATACTACCGCAATGTTCGAATACATTTTCTCACATGTAGACTCATTCCAGATGTGAAAAATGAGAATGACATGCGCTAGAAATCGAGAATTAGTAATGGCAACCTCAAGGCACGTCATTTGCCGTTTCGCAGCTGCTCGCTCAAAGGCACAGTTCACGATAATTCGAGGAGCGGGAAAGCCCTGGTCACGTCAGGCGAGTGTCGAAGCAATACAGATTGACTGCTTTCAGTCTTCAACGATTCATCCGTCCGTCCGTTCGTTCGTTCGTCCGTCCGTCCGTCCGTCCAACGCGTGCGCGACGGCGGTTCTAGAAAGGTGCTGATAGTGCCGAATACCGATCATACGCTGTCAACGCCTTTCTAGAACCGTCGACGCGACACGCACGCGACCACCGTCGCGCACGCGTTGAGCGGACTGAAGGACGGACGGATAACTGATCGCCGTGTGATGAGGCGATGTTTTTCTCCCATTCTTTTTTCCTTTGTTATTTTTTTTTATTGCCGCGATCCCTTATTTAATTTCCTACTTCTGGAGGCTGAAAAAGGTGGACTCATTTTGCTGTTATTAGGGGGTTCTTCTTTGTTTACTTTAAGTTTGCTTTAAGTGAATGGATTTTTTGCCCACAGTAGTCAGTTATTTGCATCAGGACCACACTTACGCAATGACTCACATTGTATAGCTCGTCCAAACGCCCCGCTCTTCTTCATTCTTCTAGTCTCACTCTCGTCCAGCCCCCTTTTTAACGATTTTTCGAAGCCTTTTTTCACTTTGAAAAAACCGATTCACGCAGTTCCTTCGCCTTCATCGCACTATTTTCCATCTTATCTTCCATTTTTCGTAATAATCTGGATTACCCAAAATTATTGTGAACTGTGCCTTTGATGCTTATCTTTGGTGTCTGCTTGGTGACGGGCGACTGACATGGGATGAACGAATATATATCAGGGCATTCCTGCGAATAGCTCCTGTCTAGCTAAAGATCAGAGAGCAGTGTCTACGATGGCACGGACACGTATTGGAAAACCATCGGATCATGCGATGAGTTAGGCTATGTTAGGCTATCAAGAAGGACATCACCGAAGCTAATGTAACGGCAGAAGATGTCGTAGATAGAAGGAACTGGGGAAGGCTGACAAGAAAAGTGAACTCTGTGAAGGCACGGGATTAACGCTAGGCAGGAGATGATCATGGATGACAAACGGCTGAGGAAATAACTGTACTCTCCTTCGCAATACCTGATGGAGATGGCATCACTTTCTCGAGGGCGGTTTTTACGCCATGGCGAATCACAACATAATTATCGAATCCTAGAGCAACACTGAACGCCATCTGTAAACGTTTTCTTGATCATCAAGTTTTGAAACACAATAAGAAGAAGGAAAACAAAAAAGCTGTAGAGAAGTAACCTTCCCATGCTTAGTGGCTAGTACCGTGGGCAGCCACCTAGCTTCTCGACTGTCAAGAGCAAGGAAGACGACGTCGTGAGTGATTACTAGTTTTTCAATAGCTTCTAAGTCTTTGATCAGAGCGGCTTCATCTGAATGCGTTGTCCAAAAACAAGACAATCACCGGACGAGCTTAAATCGTGAAATGAGAACCGCTTTCGTCGATCGTGTGACCAGGCATCGGCACTCTTAAGAAAATCCCTTCAGCCTCGATGCTTGGATAGATCCGCTGCAAAGCACGTGCTGCCGTTTCAGCTTTACCACGCGCTTCTCTAGCATCCTCGAACTCTGACAAAGTCTGCCTGTAACGAAATGCACTATAGTTATAGGTTAGCCGTCAAAAAACCTGTGATTGAAACATTAAAGGCACAGTTTACGATAATTCAATGGGCTGGAACGTCAATGGCTTTCCCGCCTCTCGAACGATGTCACGTCATCACGTCAGACGAGTGTCGAGATACTGTTTGCAAATTCTCGTTCTAGGACCCGCACACAATCAGCTGACCTTCGAATGATGAGACGGTGTTTTTCTCCCATTCCTTTTCCCTCTGTTATTCTTTTTGCTGCCGCGATACCTTATTTAATTTCCTACTTCTAGAGGCTAAAAAAGGTGAGCTACTTTTGCTGTTACTAGGGCTTGTTTGTTTACTTATGCTTATAAGTGAATGGATTTTCGCTTACCGTAGTCTGTTATTCGTACCAGGGCCCACACGTACGCGGTGAGACACATTGTATAGCTCGTCCAAACTCCACACTCTTCTTCATTTTTCTGGCCTCATTCTCGTCCAGCCCCCTTTTTAATGGTTTGTCGAAGCCTTTTTCACTTTGGAAACACCGATTCACGCAGTTCCTTCGCCTTTATCGCACTATTTTCTGTCTTATCTTCCATTTTCCGTCATTATGTGGATTACTCAAAATTGTCGTGAACTGTGCCTTTAACGTTTGTTACTTAACACGTTGACGACAAAGCGCGTTTGGGCATTTTTGGCAGCGTGGGACCGACGCAATATTTGCGGCCCCGTCGACCGCGGGATTTCGAAGCTTGAGAGTGAAAACTACCTCTAACTACATACCGCTACCTAGTCAACCGATTAATATAACGAAAAACACAAAAGGGTTCTATATAATAAATATTCTGCTAGGACGAAAGGTTATACAAACATGAAAATGGCTGGGAGAGAAGAAAACTCGAAAGATGCTTTACAACTCGGCCATCTTCTGACATAGAACTAGAACTCCTTAATGCTGTTAAGACTCAAATTCAATACCTTGCTTTTAATGTTTTCATTTTACTTGATCATTGATCTCAACAAAGGTGTCGATGTTTGAAGTAGGCCCATAATTTTGTGAGACTTCCAAAACCTGTGTGAAGATGAAGCATATCTGATAATTTTATGGACCATTCTGTTTATGGCCTTGTTACTGCTTGATCTATAATATAAACACAAAAAACATATGCACAAATCACGCATGCGCAAAAAAAATTGCGAAATGAGCGCGGGACACATGTGTCCCGCGTTGTCGTCAACGTGTTAAAGGCATAGTTCACGAGAAAAATGGTTTCTGAGTTCTCCCATTAGGAGTGCCCACTGGCCCCAAAGAAAGGGCGCTGTGGAATCCCAAAACTCAACCGCTAGGGCAGAGTGGGAGCCCCCGTTATCAGATCGCTCGTACTTCCCGTCCCTCGATGTCACGCCAGACGGTATCGAGACGATACTGATTGCTATATTCGCTCTAGAATCCACACACAATCAGATCGCCGAGTAATGAGGCGATGTTTTTTTCTGCTATTCCTTTATTCTCTGCTACTCTTTTTGCTGCTACGATCCTTTAGCTATTTCCTATCTTAAGAAGCTAAAAGGTGAGCTAATTATGCTGCTACTGGGCTTTCAACTTGTGCTTATGAGCAAATAAACTTTAAAGGACATTTTTGCTTACTGCAGTCAGCTATTCACACCAGGACCCACTCTTACGCAATAACACACATTGTATAGCTCGTCCAAACGCCCCACTCCTCTTCATTTTTCTGGTCTCATTCTTGTCAAGCTTCCTTTTTAACGATTTTCCGAAGCCCTTTTTCGCTGTGGAAACACCTTTTCACGCAGTTTCTTCACCTTCATCGCAACATTTTCCATCTTATCTTCCATTTTTCGTCATAATCTATATTACCCGAAATTGCGGTGAACTGTGCTTTTAAGGCAGTCCCTTCGTGGACTAGGTAACTGCCTCTTTTAAACCAAATACAACTTCAAAAAACATCACAGCGAGTATGCAATTTACCAAATTACAGAAATAGCTAAAAATGCAGTTATCAATTAGTTGATGTGGAGAGATAGTATAGTGTAATTATATTATGTCGAAGTATACAAAAAAAAATTCGATTGAATCTCACCTCACCGGGTTACTGTAGCTCACAAACGAGTTGTCAACAAAAGTTATCTTCTTCACGCCCCATGCCATCAGACAACGCGCTATGTTACTTCCGAGGGTGCCAGCTCCGAAGATAAGAACCTAGAGGCTCATGCTCGTTTAGGCTTCAGAGCATATTAACATAATTTAAGAACTGGATCAAGAAATACTACATAAGTCTCACAAGGTTGGCCATTTAAGGACAAAATTTCAGCCTTAGATGGGACTCGAGCCCGCTTGCCCGGAAAGCACAAGTACGGTTCGAGTACCGTCCGAGGTTGAAGTTTTGTCCATAAATCGCTAACCCTGTGAGACTTTCGCATCGCGTACTGCGACGAAAAAAACAGCAGTTAACAAAATACTGAATAATTTATAGCAACTATTGGTAAAAGTAGTACAAGATGTGCTGGATCAAGGACAAACAATACTGTGATATTGAACGATTGGTTGTTGGAGCATCTTATACTGAAATAGAATAACTTTCGTTAGGGATTCTTTCTGTAGCACAACGTTGACGTCTACGGAATGCTTGCCTTATATATATCTCGGAAAGACGTCCGCATGGCCTAATCATACATTTTCAACACAAAAAAACGATCACACTTTCGTAGATTTGCCAACTATTACTTATTCCACCGTGCTTAAATACACTGTGTCCAGTAATGATACAGCCACCTTCCATGGCACTTAAAGGCACCGTTCACGATAATTTTGGGTAATCCAGATTATGATGAAAAATGGAAGACAAGATCGAAATTAGTGCGACTGAGGTGAATAAACTGCGTGCATCGGTGTTTTCAAAGTGAAAAAAGGCTTCGAAAAAACGTTAAAAAGGGGGCTAGTCGAGAATGAAACCAGAAAAATGAAGAAGAGTGGGGCGTCCGGACGAGCTAAACACTGTGTTTCACTGCGCGCGTGTGGGTCCTGGTGCGAATAACAGACAATGGTAAGAAAAAATTCATTCACTTATAAGCGTAAATGAACTTAAAAACTCTAGTGACAGCAAAAGTAGCTCACCTTTTTCAGCTCTTAGAAGTAGGAAATTAAATAAGGGATTGCGGGAGCAAAAAGAAAAAACAGAGGAAAAAAGAATGGGAGAAAAACGTCGCCTCATCACTCTGCGATTAGCTGATTGTGCGTGGGTCCTAGAACGAATAATAGCAATCTGTATTGTCTTGACACTCGTCTAACGTAACACCGATCGAGGGGCGGGAACGCGAACTACGGCAACAAAGGGGCTGCCACTATGCCCTGGACGTCGAGATGGGGGAGTGAGAGGGTCCCTTCTACAACCCATGGGGGCCGCTGAGTATTAATAAGGTAAGAGCTCAATAACGTTCTTATCGTGAACGGTGCCTTTAAGGAAAGGGCTCAATGTGGTAATTGTGCCCTACTCGGGCCGTAACTTATACACCAACAATGAGTTCCATCTCAATAACATATACAATTTTCCTTCATTTTTTTTCGGAGGTCACATTGCCTATGTTGCAAAGTGATACAGCCACTGACCAAGTCAATTTACCAGCTGAATGACGATCAAGAGATGATGTTGCGTGATCAGTAATTAATTGAGCCCCATTCCTTTTCATTATCTCAAAGAAAAGTTTTTCAAAGACGATAGTCAGGAGATCGCAGAAGTGATTGATTAAATGCTATTCTGTACAGAAAATGTCACTTTTTTCGATGTATATAGCAGTTGCTCTCATTTACAACGATTAGGTGATGAGAATTGGAGGGGAAAAGATTTGAGCCGAAATTTCTCTGCTCAGATCAATTTTCAGCAACTGACATGACATTGATCGCCACTCAACACGCAAATAATCACATTTTATCCAGAGGCATTCACATTTCGCTCTCTTTTCTTTACATTACTGATCGGTCCAGTATTATGATCACATTCAATAGATTGCGTTCTAGAACTATTACATGTATACCCATTGTCAACAAATAGAATAGGTAGAATGTCCTAGAGTAGCGACTCATATTTTTAATGGATGATACGATTGTCTAAGCTAAAGTAAAGCCTATCAATGAGCTCCTGGTCAACTTGTTGCTTTAACCGTTGGCATTGCTTTCTTCAGCTCACTGATATCTTCAACTGCTTGTTTCCTTCATAAATTCTCCTCATAAATCTCCATAAGCTTCCCATTAAAGTCAAGATAGGGCTGTTAGCCAGCCAGGGCAAAAGGTCGATTTGTTGCCGACTAAACCGGGCGTGTGTGCTCCGACTGATTGAATCAGGGCATTATCCTGTATAAATAAGAGGTTCTGCTGCCGATTCTGAGACCTAAAGGAAGAAGAGCACGTTGCATTACGACTCTTCGGAACAAACCATAAATGAAGACGGTAACGAGAAGAAGTTGCCTCCCATAACATGATTCCTCCTCTCTTGAAATTTGTTTGGAAAACTGAAGCTTATCCTTTCTCAGTTCGTGCCAGTAGAACCGGAATCAAAAGTAGTAACTTCCGAAAGTAAAAAAAAAACGTCCCGTACTCCTTTTGGCCCCTACTCTGTAGGATTCCTGACGAAATTGTCGACAAATGAGTGGCATCGGCCCGAATTTCGACGATTTTGCGATTTGACAGTCCCCGCTCCTTATTTGCGGGAATTTGACCCAAAATCGGATAGTAACTTTCCTTTACCCATACTCTCAAATTGGAAAACTTGACAAAAATTAAGCGTCTGTGTGTGTGTGTGGTGAAAATGGAAAACGACTGGAATATATGAGGTGACTGTATTATTTTGCAACATAGGCAAAGTGACCTTTTCCGAAAAATGAATCGAAATGGAACTCATTGTTAGTCTACAAGTTATGGTACGAATAGGGCACAATTTCCATATTAAGCTTTCCCCTGAAATGCCTTGGAACGTGAACTTTGATGAAATTATGGGTGGATGTATCAATAGCGGACGCTGTGTATACAATTGGATCCGTTTCACTTATTTTTGTCGCGCCCAGAAAGCGTTTTGAGTACTTGCATATCGACACACCACACCCCTTTCTACGATTCACAATCTGTTCGGACATTTCTTGGAATAGCGCCACTCAACTGGTGTAGAGGATGCTGTACTCGTTCATTTCAATAACTAATCTACAGGAAAAAGATGCTCCAAAAAGCTTCCCACACTTTCTTTTCGTTTAAAACGAACCTTCAGAAGGTACCACCATTCCATGAAGTGCAAGTAACTGGAGGCTAACATTCGTTCTACACTATGCCGCCTCAAACACGCATAGCTAAACTTAACCCTTCAACGACAATACGAATTTCGACGTGATGAGTCCATGGGATCACGCCCTCGTTCTTTCGCGAGCGATTGCCAGCTCATTCAAGGGCTCACTGAATTTAGCAATATCTCCCATATGGTAGAAGTAGAAGAATTAAAATTTCGTTTTATCCATTATATATAATCAAGGGTTAGAAATGGAGTTTGGGTTTGGAAGGTATAGGAAAGAATTTCGGAAATAAGGTACGCAGCGATAATTCGTATTGCATTCAGAGCCTTCGCGGACTAATTTATGCTCCGCGACTGCCGTGCTCAGAAGGTGAAAACCCTGTCATTCTTCTAGGGCGTCACAAATCTTGCGCAAGTATCTGTTTTTTTTTAGTAGTGCATCAATGACTCATATTTTTGTGATAAATGTGTAAGTTTCTATAAAACATTCATGTGGACCATGTTGGAAATAAGTATTATGAACATTGTTATTAACATGAAAAAATTTAAAAAGTTCTAAACGTGGTTAGAAAAAAGGAATTGTGGTGGCACCCAACAATGGGTGCCATTGCCCCATGCGCCAGTCATAGTGGCAGCCACCGGTGGGTACCATTGTCGTCAATGGGTTAATAGGCATGCATGTTTGAGATGGCATGATATAGAGTGAACATTTTCGTGAGCTCCTTAAGTGAGCAACCAATAATAAAACATCATCACACAACTTTCTTTCACCCTTTACAATGCCATTGTGAAGAGTGCATATCAAAGATGCAAGAGAGCTCATAAACAGGTTTTTGGGGAAGATATCAAAACTACACATTCCGGTTAAGGGCTCTTGCACATCCTGGCAGAAAAATTCAGGAATACTAGTTCTGAGGCAAATCCCAACAACTGGAATCGTTTTTGGAGTACAAAATATTTGTGTAACTTATTACGCTAGCAGAATATGCAGACTGAAAGCTTTTTTCATGAACCCCCTTACCCTTCCGCCCCCCCCCCTTCGATCCGAGGCGGACCTGGTTTTAAGATGAGCCGAGGAACAATAGCAAAATGGGCTTTTACTGCCTGTATCATTTCAAACCTTCTGTCGACTATCGCATCAACTCAGAGTTTGATGAATTATCATTGCAAAAAATTTTAAACGGTGATAATAATAAGTAAAAAAAGTCAACAACCTTGAGAGTCGTATAGCGTTCCAGTTTCATTTCTGGAACCAGTCGCCATTTCATTAGAGAGAGATTGAGCCCAACAGACTGCTCCATCAATCGAAAAAAAAGAAATAATACATGAAATCGAGCATTAGGTACCATCATTAGAATCCTACTTCTTCGGGTCGAACTGCTTCCTCATGTCTGCGAATTGTGGGACCATCTTGCCCTGGATGTTCCTCTCCCAACCAACACTTGTAGGCAATTGATCTGTCTAAAAAAAGTTTGGGCAGCAGTTTGCGGTGGGCCAAACACTGTTCAGCCACCCAAGTACTAGATCCGACTTACAGCCTATTTCTGTCAAGAGGCTAAGCTATGTTATCAACCAACTTCCAGTTTCGCGCCAGAAGATGTTCACTAGAGGGACAGACATGCTAATAAGCAAGGTCTTTCAGGGCGTGGGACGCTTTTTGAAAATGGTTTTTTGCATGTAGGGGCATGAGCACTGACCATAGAACTATGGTCCATTTCCGCTGAATGGCCTTCTGAATGCCAAAATGGGAGTGAAAATGATTTTGTCAAAAATTGCCGTTTTAACCCACCAAGCGTCGTTTGTTTCGTTCATGGCGTCGACTGTCTGCACAGTAGAAGGCGACGGTGGACTGCGCACTGAAAATAACGCTAACATTAGTCAAAAAAGGGGGCCACATGTTGAAACATGCTGAAAAGTGCGGGGAAGTTTCATATGTGCTCTCCTTGGATGAACTGCTGACGGCGACCGATGGTGTGGTGAATAGCAGTGTTGGCTTCGAGTTGGGACGACCAGGCTAGGTTGATGGTTCGAATACCCGAGTCATTTTCGTTTTTGCATTTTATGCTGCCACCTTCAGATTGGCTCCATATTGCCTCAAGGCCAAAGCAAGTGCAGCTGATCAGCTCAACTGCTCACGGCTCGGTTTGATAGTTGTTCTGTTTCGACCGAACTCCTTCAAAACTGTTGAGAGGCGCATCTGATTTCGATGATTTCATCTTTTTTTACCCTAGCGTTAATCTCGCGTCGTTAAAGGGTTTTTGTTCACTGTTCTGGTTGGTCATCTCCATTTGCTTCTTTCCTCACGATCAGTAACTTCTGCAGTCACCTCGACTTCAGCAATGTCCTTCTTGATCGCGTCCTGCCAGCCCTTCATAGCAGGACGGTGAGTTAGGGAATCGTGTGTTGGGAACGGTATCGCCCAAACTCTTCATCTAGTCATTAATCTAGTAATCTGACGCTTCAATGATTTCCTTCAGGGGTGACAGCTTTTTGTATCAAGCCTAACGCTCATGGATGCCTCAGCAACAAAACGAGTTGAAAGAGAATCTGACCTCCATTACAACACTTTTATTGTATGAAATGAAAAGACCCCTTTATTCTCGTGGGGGTGTGACGCCTGGAAGCTCCTTCACTGATAGTGCTCCACACATCAAATTCTAAAATTCTTGTAGAGGTTATCGCTGGTCCTGATCACGACCATGACCAGTCAGGCACTTGCTTCGGTCCTGGTGCAATATGGAGCCAATCTGTAGCAGTATAAAATGCGAAAACGCAAAGCCCCCAACTCGAAGTCCACTTGGCTATCCACCACACCACCCGTCGCTGAAAGCAGCTCAACCGTGGAGAGCACCTATGAAACTTCCCAGCACTTTTCAACATGTTTCAACATGTGGCTCCCTTTTTTCGCCATTGTTCACGTTACTTTCAAGGCGCAGTCCACTGGCGCCTTCTACTGTGCGGACAGTCGACGCCATGAATGAAACAAACGACGCTTAGTGGGTTAAAACGGTAATTTCTGAAAAAATCTTTTTCACTCCTTTCTTGATATTCAGGAGGGCATTAAGCATAAATGGACCATAGTTGTGTGCTCAGTGCTCCATGCACTATGCAAAAAACCATTTTCAAAAAGCGTCCCACGCCCTGAAAGACCTTCCTTGTAAATGCATCAACACTTGTTCGAATAGTGGTGTAAAAGAAAATGCTGAACATTTAAAACGATTCGTAGAGAAGGTTATTTGTTACAATTTTGCTATGTCAAAACAAAGAATGTTATTAATCGGCGAAGAACCAAAAAAGTACTCAGGCGTCACTGCTTTATAGCTACCAGCATCGGTTCCACAAGAAAAAGCCCATCAGATGAAAGGAGCAAATATTTACAGGTATGATAAAATCTTGATAAATTTGATATGAATGACAGGACAACGCTCTCGCAATAGCTTTTCCATGAAGAATTTATCGAGTCTTAAGTAGAGCATTACAGGAAAAGATATAATAAATGAAATTCACCTGGATCTCATCCCATGAAATCTTGAACTCCTTCATAATATTCCCTCCTCTCAACGAAATGAAAGAACACCATCGCCATGATCTTTTCATATACGCGACAGCCGCTACAAGATTTCGAAGAGGCCATCCTGCGCAGTCAACCACTGGTGACGGATCAGCAAAGACTATCTAAATTAGATACTAAATTTTTGAATAGCCTAAACATCCTAACAGGTTTTTCAATGGTGCAACATCGACTATGCATGCCTTTAAACAAGTAAATGATCTTAAAAGTCCGAAAGCTTTTGAAGGTTGCATATAAATATTTATAGATTTAGATGCAGGGTCCAATGCTAATAGCTTTACTATATCCACTAAATTTTTTCTTGAAAATCTTTGGAAACGATTATCATCCACAACTCGGATGAGGGTCAGCATTTTTCTTGCATCTGCTCCAACTGTCACTCCAAGAACTTGGCAAAGTCTATTTAAGCAGTAAGCCAGCCTGATGAATCTTTTCGGTTCAAATACACTCAAGTTATGTAAGCCATTTTGTTAACAGTAGACCAGTCGTTCAAATCTGCCTACCTTTACGTCTGCAGCATCTTCAGCGCCACCTAAATCCTGCAGAGACGAACAATTCCCTTCAGAGTTTAACAGAAAAGCATGAACTTTTGTGTCATAGAAATAATTCATCAGTGTGCCATTATCAACAAAGGTGGAGACCTGGAACGAAAAAATTTCGAACGAAAAAAAAGAAGGAAGGCTACTGCATCATTTCGGTTGTTGCGTATCTCACCATGCTACTGAGTAGGGAAGAGTGTAAGTTGGAGCAGCAAAGTGTCAGTGTTAAAGAGCACCTTAATGTTCTGGAAGTCTAAAATGGCTACTCACAAAGGTGATCACAGCTTTGAGCGCCACGAAAATGTGCATAATATGGCCCTAGCCAAACATTCATGTGAAGAAGACATCACAGCTGGTAAGACTATGGATGTGCTATGAATCGGCCCGTAAAATGAACAGGAAGGACGAGTGCGTTACAATTACTAAGGAGCTAACGCGTTTGCGGACCTGTGTGACTTTGATCTGCATGAATTCTCCTGCGCTGGTGCTGAGGCAGAGGCCCACTTTTGAAATAATCAGAGACCTAGAAAATCGACTTCCGGAGTGCTGCACGAACATAAGCAGGGATGCTACCTTGTGAAAATACCACCAAGAGATATACAACTCAGAGTGGGTTCTGTAGAGGCCAGCTATTTCTGCTCTTTTTGCTCACAGCACCTGGAGATCAGTTTAACTATAAGAAAATGTATCGTGAGAATAGCAAGACAGGTTAGAACATGAACTGAATAGTACATCCATTTGAGGGGTTTCTATACCCCAATGAGATCATGGGTTAGGTGCGAAAATGATAAGTATCAGTAACAGTATCAGCACCTCCTGACTACTACAACACTTGTCAAACACAAAAAAATCGCATTTGCAAGTTGTATAAGAAACACAAACACCTTTGCAAACCATACTCATGAGTTACCCAATTTTCAAAGGAGTAGCATGGAATTTACATACGAGATTGATAAGGAACTGCAATTGAAATTTGTACGGCCTAGATCAGGTAGTACTAGTAAAATTACCACCAGTCAATTATTAAAATTAATGAGAAGGGACTTGAATTGTCTATGTGCCATTCCACAATGTGAAACATCCAAGAAATATGGATGGGTCAGTTTCACGATCAACAGAGTCTTACTGCCGGCGGGCTATAGAAAGTAAAAGATAGGCCCGAATGAAGGCACAGCAAGACCATATCAAAGCTACATGCGGGATTGCGCGAGTAATTTGCGTGGTGGGTGGTTGTATCGTTGATGAGGAGCACCCATAGAACTATGATTACCACAAATTTTGCAACTTCGAGCGCGTGATATACCACAGAAAATGTTTGGAGGTATGGTGCGAGTGCTATTGCGATTGGGTTTCAAGGTATAAAGTAGCTTTTCATTAGACTGTCTGGCCTAAAAACCAATCACGATTTGTGCTCGGAAATCTATGTGATGAGATAATCGAGTTCGGTGACGGAGGACAGCTTAATAACCCTGTGAGAAAGCAGCTTAAAATTTTTGAATATATTATATGCGAAGAGTTGTTGTACCGAATTAGCCAAACAACTGATCAGCTGGGTCAGGAACTACTGAAAAAAATCGACATAAGTCTTGCACAGCGTCTCATCGACCGACCAGAAAAGGTTCGAAAAAATCCAAAGAAATGGCACGCTTCAAGACAACTGCTACTAACACCGCACTCTCTCGATCCAACGCTTTCATTTGATTTACTATGACTGCCCTCGCTTCGTAAAAGTTAATATTCAACGCTCCTTGAAAATTGTGCAATTTTTTGAACAGAGGTTAATGTAGATATAAATTTGCATCTGGTGTATCTGACTACTCCCATGGGCTCATTGGAACTTCTACCGAGCCAAGTAATTCACAGATGTTTCGTCACTGATATTACAAGTAATGATATGCATAACTGACAAATGATATCATGAACTAAAAAATTCAAGCTGAGTTCCCAAACTATCACTAGGAGAAACCCCGATCCTAGTAGTCCAATACCTTCAGTCATGGTAACTAAGTCGATGGTTTGAAAAATTCTCGTCTTATACGGGTTAGGAACAAATTCAACAAGGAAAACAAAGAGCAACCTTCGAACCTTCTCTTTTACATTTTCAGGGAAGCACAAGGCTGGAAAACAGTTCCAATAGTAATAATGGAATTTTTTTAGGTCAGCATACACTGTGAGCACAAATGGAACCAGTCGCTCTGGGTACAACAGCCATTCTCCGGACTCGATATTTTCCCAAACCTATAATCTAAAAAAGTAAGCACAAAATAGCAAACAACAAGAGCATTAAAACCACCCATAATTCCGTCTTTTGTGATCTAGTTTAATTTTTGGAATCTTTCCAAAAATAGAGCTTTCTCGCTTGAAACTGTTATCATCAAAGAACCTGAGGGTGACACCAAGCGCCAACAGTTTACATTCCTTGCTAAAACAGTGTAAGCTAACAAGAATTACTCTAAAGCAGAGAAAAAGCAAACAAAAGGTTAAGGAAAGTCAACACCAACGCCCAAAAATGTGATCAAACAACATGTGGAAGCCTGTTCATGCAAATACTAAAAAATTAAAGATAAGAAATGGAGAACACCTTAAGAGTCTTCATGGAGAGAGTTAAAAAGGCGAATTCAGGTTCACCTTGCAAGCCTCCTCAAAAAGTAATGCTTTTCGATCCACTCCTTTAAAATTTTCTAGGGTGTTTAGCAGAATAAGGCGACCGTGGTAGGCTCCTGGCGAATGACGTTCGAAACTGTCATGACTCAGCGATAGCCGGCACTCATATCCCGTCGTATCAACTTAAAATGTCGCCTTTAGCTCAGCATGAAAATATCAAGCAATCTCAATCCTAGCGACCCAGAGTGCAATCTAGGAACTAGAATAACATCTCTGGTTGCTCAATTTCCAAAACATCAGTACGGAGATACCTCTTCTCACCTTCGTGGCAAAGTTTAGCAAATCCGAAGAATGAATATAGTGAAAGATCCCTGATAATTGTTGAAGCGAACAACGTAATCTTTACTGAATCGGAGAACGCGTAATATGACTGGAATCCCAGTTCAAGGCAGCCAGTACACGCGGCAACGATAAAACTGTCACAGCTAACATAACTACCCCACTTCCTGGTATTCAAAACGTTCCTGTGGTTCAACGGCTTACCCCTACTTTGGAAATTTCTGTAAAACTACACGAATGCTCGCCTGTAGGCATTCCATCCAATTAACAGTTACGATCACACTGCTCTCAATCGTAATGTAACAGCCATTTCCCATATTGGGCAAGCTTGACTCAACAAAATAGAAATATAAACAATACTGCTTCGAAAGAGGAACGCTTTTCTCCTTTCTTGAAGCTCAACCTTCACGAGCGAAACACTAAAGCATCAACATAGTGAATCAAAGTACCCCAAGTTCTGTAATAAGGTAACTGACTCACACAGAGAAAACTGCCCACTTATTTCTCGCGGAGTCTCGTCAAGACGCCACTCATGTAATTTTCTTCTGTTCAACTCCGCCCAGAATGTAGTATCAATAAATGTACAGAATGGCACGAATGATGTGTGTGACATGAGCTCTCCGACTAGAATACCGAAGAACCCATCATGTTTCTTACTTGGCTATCATGCCACGGAATCTGTAGGATGGATTTACAACCACCGTTATCAAATAAAAGAAAAAATACAACCCATTGTAAGAAAAATTTATCTCTTGAAACGCTTCCGAAAAATAGATTACGAATTACGGAAACCGGACGATAGAAGAAAAGCATGCGGAACGAAACACAAAAGACATAGTTGGGATTGGAGACATTGAAAAGATTTTTTTACACAACGTCCAAGCATAGCGATGGTCACATCGCATACTTCTGAGTCCATTCACGTGCCAGTTGATTGTACCTGAAAAAAAACGTCATTGAACAATGAGATAAAACAGAGCAAATTTCAGACAACACTTTAGGATATATATATATATATATATATATATATATATATAA